TTCAACTGTAAGTTTCGCATCGAAAATTTGCTAACGGAAATAGGCAATTGTAATACACAGTAAATACACAACTTAGCACGATTTTTACACTATTTACATGACGTCACACCGTTTCCGAAACCGCGCATTTTGGCCTGCTTGTTGCCAGTGCCAGTAACATGCAGTCTGAAGACGAGGGGTGCCCTAAATGCGAGCAAAACGCGTTTTGACGCGGTGCGGTTCAGCCTATACCCAAGAGCACCAGAATTGTCGATCCAGAATAGCGCGATCACAATTGGAGCCCGTAAGCACCAGTCGTATTGATTTGCAAAGGACTTTCAAATTCTGTTTGCAATTGAGTGAGCCGAGCTGTGAGTCGCTGTTAGCCATTTTAGGAAATTGTTCCGTCTTTGCAGGGCTATCAGTAAAATATGTTGCAAAGAAAGACGTTTCCATTGTATTGCACGTACAGCTTAAGGCTGAGCAAAACAATTGGCATGAAAACACAACATGGGACTCAGTTCTATGCAGCTCAAATCACTCTACTATCCAGGGCATGCCTTTTTTCGAACGCACTTCTTAGGGCATCTGAACAGGAGTACGGACCTTAGACCCAGAGGCCGTAGTACGGATTTTCAGTAATTTTTGTATTACTAAGCGTTACTAATTGAAATAAGCGTGCTTTTGCTTGGAGAACGTCCCCTCGAGAGGTTCGCATCTTTTGGGGACGATTTCGGTTGGGTTGACAGGGGAATTGCTAAATTAATTACTAAAATAGTCGTCCCGATGAGCTAGGAATGTGACGATTTCGCATTAGTCATATAGAATTGTACTGCCGGCCATTGCAACATTCATTAAGAAAAAATTTTCGCCTAGATTTTAGGTTTTGACGCAATTAACGCGCACTGCTGCGAAATCCGGGGTGGTTGGGTGTGTGACGCTCATGATGAGCGGCGTAGAGTGGGGTTTGTTATGTACTGGGGATGATATGAATGTGCGGTGCCACCGTGATCACGACAATGGGGGTTGCTATGTACTGGGGATGATATGAGTGTGCGGTGCCACCGTGATCACGACAATGGTGGTTGCTTGGGGCGAAGAACACACCCCATGTTTGAGAGCGTAATACTGCCCTCGCTGGCCGTGCAACGGGGGTCCAATGTGCGAACGGCATGTGGGCATGGTTCAATTGCTGCTATTTACCTTACCAACACTCCAGGTTGTTCTTCCATACGGGCCGCACAGTTCTTACAATGGACAGTCTCAAATCGCGTTTGGATTTTGAAGTCAAAAAAATGTACAGGCAGGCAGGGGCCCACATTGCGATTGTTCCCAGTGGTTGTACATCTGTGGTGGTGCAATTATTGGATGTTGGGTCAACAGAGTGTTCAATGGTCACTTGCGAGGATTTTGGAATGAGTGGACGGCAGATCGAACCGACCATTCATACACAAATCAAAACAATCTGAGGGCGCCACCTTTGTGGTCGGTGTGTCAGGGGATTGAGAGGGGTTGGGGTGCAATTCAGCCAAGCACTATTCAGAATGCTTTTCGCACGTGCAAGCTCATTGCATGTAGTGAAGATGTGAGGCAGAATGCTTTGGATGATATCAGGAATGCACTGCACGAGGTTGAGGATCAGTTGGTGGCAGGACATGATGATTTGGGAGAAGATTCGGAGGGTGTTGATGAGGATTTCGATCGCTTTGCATCAGATATGGATGTGGACAGCGATTGATTGTGAATACGTTTCTGCATTTTTGGTTGGGATTTTGTGACTTTGACTTGGTGATGTGGCTGTTGTTGTACTGCATCTAGAATTTTTTTAAAGCCTAGTTTTGGGCATTTCACCGCCTATTTTCCGAAAAATTTCTTGTCTACTCCTTGGATCGGTGGTCTAAACCATGTTCGTATCCGTGACCCACTATTAGTATCCACCGCTCAAATTTGGGGTTCTTGAAAGCAACGCGCCATAACCGACCACGTCACCCCTTCAAAGCCAGCGCAGTCTTACCAACCAACCAAATGTCCGACCGAGTAGAATCGATCGTTAACGGAGCTCGCCTCCGCCCCCTGTCAGACCCTCTGGGGTGGTAGACAGACTCCACCGGGTGCTCCTCCGCCCAACGCGACGCTGCCGGCGATGGGAAGTCGACACGAAGCCCCGACCGACTGGGGCAGCGCTTTCGCGAGAGGGGCGGAGGCAGGCTGGCACCGGCACGGCAACCAGCACGACCAGAGGTACACGGATCAGACAGGAATCAACGGACTCAGCGAGGCTCCCGCTCACCATGGAGCGCCTCGTATTTGTATTAAAACCAGTGCATCAGTACATCGTTATTGTCTTTGGTACTGTTCCCAACGTTCCCAGTACAACTCATACTAAGAAAAGACTCTTTCCCATCCAATACACATCATAGTGCGCCTGTCATGGATCAGATCATCCCTCGATCCAAACCCGAGCATGGCGGCGGCATACCCCAAACACGGCCTGGCCATGCCCCAAACACGGCGCCGTCACGCTCCGACCCTTGACAGCTCATCAACAGTTAGTCACTTCAAGTCCTGCCTGCCCGAGGATCGTTCCTACGTTACCATGACGCTATCCCATCGCTGACTGAACGTATCAGTAACTCCTTGTCAATCGATCGTCTGTCTGCAGCTCGGCAGCGTTCGACATCGTATCATCGTCCTCTCGCAGCCGTATTCCCGCCTTTGCCGTCGCTCAGTACGCCTCCGAAGATGCGACATCAACTCCGATGCCTCCGATTGTCCGTACACCCCATCGTGGGACACCGCGTCTGACCGCAAGCAGGCGGTGTGATTTCGATGGGCACCGCGCACTGCTGTGCAGGCTGTAGTCGCAGATCAGGCTCTAGAATGATAGGACACAGTTCTTGGGTCTGACGCAGAGGTAGTCTCAGTCGGACAGGCTGCTGTCCACGCTGCCAAGGCGGACAAACGTGGTATTTTGGCGACTGTAGTTAGTCCTTGTACTTGGTAACACCTTGTAAAGAGGTTCCGTTTCCTTCCCAGTACTTCGCACGTCGTTTAGTCATACTTGTGCCATGGCGCCGGCACGCCCCAACCATGGCGCTGGCACGCCCCAACCATGGCGCTGCTATGGCTTAACCATGGCGCTGCCACCCTCGTTCCATGGCTTCCTAATCCTAATAAGTGCAGCTCTTATCCTATAGTTTCTTCACTTAGAACTTCTTCCCCTGTGTTATGAAATCACCCCTTTTTGCCCTCTTTTCAACCCTTTTTTCTTGGTTTTTTAATCAATGGCCGTTGCATAAATGGCCTTGATTTGAGGTGATTTCAACAGGGTCCAATACACGCCTACTAATGCCGGGTAAATACGGTAATTTTAGAACACCAGCGTTGGCACCTCAGCAACGAGCTGGAATCCATGCCACACAAGGGCAGCGGCTCCCAAATCGCAGCGACGAAAATCGCCAGATGGGATTGGCAAAACCGGTGGGCTGGAATCGTAGTTGTCGCCTTCCGATTCCATACGGCGGTTACATGCATTTGAATGACACGCAGTTTTCGATGCAGCAGTCAGCGGCATCTTCATTTGCCAGCGTAACAGCTACAGGGGCGACGGCCGCGCGTTGCGTTCGATTCCGCTGATATCACTAAGTTTTCCAGATATGTGAGACTCACTCTTCTATCGAAACGGCGAGGCTCACCCCTGGGAGTCCCAGGATCCTGGATATAATCGCCGTATGGGGAGAATATGCTCAATCATCAAGCACAGCAACACCGGTGCTGTAGCTGCCGCTGACATAAGAAGGCAACCAGAAATACTGACAAAACTCTGATCACATGGGATGCAGATCTCTGCTCGATATAACAATTCAATACAACAATGGCGTCTGACAGACGAAGAATGTTCTCCCGCTAAAACTTGCCGCCCACAACTCAACAGCTCAACAAGAATAAATGAGGGAACCATTACGAATGAGACAACTACCGAACTAAAATACTGGCCGTATGGGCACGTTCATTGGGCCTGGTCGTGTCAATCCCTGTCATGCTGCCCGGCGCACAAACACCACACAAGCATCGAATGTATCGCAAATGCCACAATCATAAGAATGAGGGACATACCTGGCAGATGAACCGGGCATCCCTCATGACGCTTAGTCAATCGTTCATGGCAGCAATCATTTGGACAAAAAACGCTCCGAGAAAACACAGCGCCTTCCCTTTCACCATCCGCGCCGTGGCGCCCACCATAATCATCCCTTCATTATGATCAACATCATCTCGTTGCGAACGCCAATTTGCCGCACGGGCAGCCAACCCCGTGTTGACCACCCAACCGTCATGTACATTACTCCACACATCATGAATCACAACGGGCGGAAGTCCCAAGGTCAAAATGGCACAGTCACTGCCGGGCCACTGTGGGCCACAGACCGGGCCCCTCCTAACATCATCTAAAGGCCCTGCATTCCTGTGTATATCAGAAGCGTTGCATTTGGGCGACCCTTCGAGATGCCCAGACGCCAGCAGCCTTGCGGAAGCTCCTGGACCGAGGTGCTTCAGGGAGGCGCGTCAACCACAGACCTAAAGCACCAGGGCCCAAAGCTGCAGTCTTGAAACCAATAGGGCAAGATGCCAAGACCTGATTACTACCCAGCCATAGCATGGGCGCAACAAGCACATCTTCAGCAGCGCTAGGGCAGCAAACCTAAATACCTTAAAAGCCTGGGATAAAAGGGCCCAAAATAAGCTGCACAAAATGCTCCAAACGCCCAGGCCGCGTCTGCACTCACCAATCAACCGCAGGCATACACTGACTACATGCTTTGCGACCAAATGATCACAGCCCTTGTGCCAGAGTTCCAGAGTATATCGGTCCTAAATCCCAGGCACATTTAGGTCCTAATGCACTGACTACCAGCCGTGCGACCATATGACCAGAGCCCTTGTGCCAGAGCCCCAGAGTAGTCCGGTCCTCAAGCCCAGGATGTAGGTCCCAATGGCCAGACGTGCATGCACGTGGCGCCTCAGCTGGATCCTGACTCGGACTGCAGCTCCCGTGAGCCCAGCACGAACTTGATGGACCGCGCTGCAAACCGCCGGCCGACCTGCGATGCAAGCTTGCCCACCATGTCCACGGCGCCAGGCTGCGTCAGGAGGCGGTACAGCCGTGGCGCCGTGTTCTGCACTTGGTTCGTGACCGCCTCCTGAGCCTGCTGGATGTCCTTGGGCAGGGGAAGGCCCAGGGGCCCACTGCCCTACGCCATTCACAGATGATAGGTTTGCTCAATTAACAAATCAAAGAATTATGGGGATTATTTCTGTATTTGTGAGTTGAATTATTGTCAAGTGCAGTTGTCAAGTACTCAACTAGTTATGGAATTGAACATTGAGTGTTCGATTGATCAAGTCAAGCAGGAAACGGCTCAATGCACTGGTTCAAGCTGTAGATACTGTTTGGATTTGCACAGGTTCGGACCCACATTTCTCTTTCCATTGCACAAAGCTTTGTAGGCATGGACACAGGTATTCCGGGTTACAATGTCTTTCTGTGCAATGACCACTGTCTGCATGCGTTGCAGGTGGGTGGCAAGCAGACAAGCGAACAGACGAAGGACAACAACATTCTTGGACGTATGCATGCCCATCATCGCCTAAAACTTGCAAGGGCATTGCAGTGCGTTTCAAAGACAATTCTAAACAATGGAGTTCTGCATCAACTCAAGGGCATTGATTCACAAACAGCTTGGACTGGGCATGAAGGGCTCCTGACCACCCTGTGCACAAGAGAACTCAATCTCATTCCATGGCGCTACAGAAACTTCCATGACGTTCACAGCATTTTGCAGACATTTTGGGCATGGTCCCTTTCTCAACACTGCCTTGCATGAACGCCAGGACAGCACTTCCTGGCTCTTCAACAAAAGCACTGAATGCTTGGCTGCTGAAGGTTAAGGGCCAGAAGTGCTTGTGCAGAGGTTTTCAAGTTCAACACATCAACATGAAGGCACAACCCGGTTTCCTACACTAGTAGAAAATGCCACTTTTGAGATACAACATGAGACACCAAATTGACTATAAGTGGCACCATCACAGCAACTGCAACAACCAGCACAGCAACTGCATATGGCATAAAAGCAGCTGCGACGGCATCAATTAGCGTCAAATGGCATTGCAGTTGGCATCGCAAAATGCCTTTTTCCTCTGCTGTTATCGCCCCCCACAAACGCCAACTTCAGAGAGCATGGCGGGATGAAAACCAGACCTACGGGTGCTCCAAAAGTGCTCAAATCTCAGAATCAGCAACAGAATCAGGAGTAACATAAGCTCATTCAACCACCCATAGTTTCCTCCAACCCTGTCCAAATGCCTCCCGCACCTGCAGCTTTGGAGACAGCCTGCCCATCCTCCGTGCGATCGCTCCCACCAGCGCCTCCCCCCTCTCCCTTGACATTCTCTCCCGCGGCCCCTCGGGCAGCAATGCCGCCGCTGACTCATCGCTACCCAGCCTCTCAGCCAGGCGCTTGCGGGCATCGGTGGCCGCCATTGCGTCCACGATGCGTGACAGCTCGGTGACCAGTGGGTCACGGAGGCCCTCGGCGGTTGGCGAGACCATCCACTCGGCCAGCAGCCATAGTTGGGAGGCATCAAAGTCAGTGCTCTTGGAGGACTCCCGCAGGAGGTTCTCCAAGCGGTTCCAACGGAACTGGCCGTCCTGAGGAAGGGTAGCAAAGGGTGTCAGGCTCCACAAGGGCGTCAGACTCCAATTTGATTCAATTCAGATGACCGACGCATTCAATTCAGGCATTCTGTGCAGTTACTTCAATTGGTTGCATTCATGATCAGAACAAATAATACACAGTATGGCGAATGGGTAGCTGTCAGCTTCCTGTTTTGCCTGATCAAAGCGGTGTTCACAGTTGTCCGTTGAATCTAATGTACAACAATAACAAAACCCAGAGTCCATTACTTGCCAATTTGCAAGAACTGTGTGTCAATGAAAAGAAGGGCATCATCGTCTATTCGATTCAGTTCAAGAATGGGTGTGTTCAATTTAGGCTATCGGAGCATTCTATTTGGAGAGACCATTTAATCGCGATCCCAGCTCGGAGCTCTTTCCCATTGTGTAAAGCTGGAAGATGTATTCCTTCGCCCTTTGCAAAAGATTTCTTGATGCTGTTAGTTGGTATGTTGTCTGCAAGTGCACGCTTGTGCATGGACTACCTCGGGTGCAAGGGACAGGCAACAAAGGACAGACTACTCAATATAACATCTGCTCAAATATGCAACGTCAATTTGAGCACCATATCATTGCTGTTGGTTCATTGTTGTACATTGCCTCCATATCAACCTGTGATGCACCAAAACTATTCACCACGTGCACCGTGCATGCACACAAAGTTCACCTCGTTACCATATAATTTCAACACTGATGACGACAGGGAACAAAAAATGCTGAGCACAGCAGTGCAACTCTGTGGTGACTGCTGTTTCACTGGCACTTTCACTGGGAGGTAGTTGGACTGACATGGCCAAGATTGTGAAACACTCATAGTTGACCAGGGCAAGTGCTGAGTTTCTTACCCAAAACATGGAGTTGACAGCTCCCTTATCATCCAGATGTGAAATAATGTGGATACTATGGATAATGCGGATGTTGACTTACAGTGTCAAAAGCAGCTTCAGTTGAGATATAGGAAGGCCACAAAATCTGCATGACTTGATCTTGTGCTGCACCACGAGAATGCAGGGATGAATAGTTTAGCACAGCCAACGACACACAAGAGGGCAGTGCTTTGCCACATGCCGACTTTTCTTGTAATTGGGCATCCCGCACCTGAGCACAGGTTCTGCATAAACTAATGAGTATACTAAGATATGCAAGATATGCAACCATTGACGTATCACCATTGTTGGTTCACTTTGCAGAGGGTTGACATCACCTGAAGCACAAGGTCCTCGAATGACGACCTCAGTTCCGGCACTGGGTCCGTCAAAAGCCTGCGGGCCATGTAGGGATACGCGCGGCCCAGCAGCTTGTACTCTGGATCTGTTTGCAGAGCGAGCCCCTCCAGCACGGTGAGAGATCTCAAGATGAGGGCATAGTAGGAAGGCACCCTGCAAGCCCAATAAAAGTGCCATCGGCCCCTAAAAGAAATGCGGTAACGTTTGCAAATTGTGTTGCGAAGCACTGCACCTGCACCATGCTTGCACGAAAATTGGGAAGCACGGCACAAGCCCAAATTTTCCTGCCTTATGCGTTCATTAATTAATGAATTAAAAAACGTATTAGAATGAGAAAATGATCACATTTATGTACAAATAAGCAAGTGAACAATGCAACAGCCAAAGGTGAAAGCGTGTTACATTTGAGCTTGAACCACGAACATTTTCCGCCTGCACAAGTTAACAAAAATATAAATAAATAAATCAACAACAGGAAAAATCATTACCAAAGAGTAAACAACGCAGCGGGTGACTCACTGGAACGGAAATTCAAAGAGCACCTCCCCCAGGCCGTCGACTATGGCCTTGAAGTTGAGCTGGGCGACGGTCTTGTCCAAGACGTTGTCGAAAAAGGCAGCAAGCGCGGGGGCGATTGGCGACGTGTCCACGGAGCGGTCCATGAACTTGAGAGCGTAGTAATCCTCGCACATGGCGGCATAGTCCCTGATCACCGGCCGCATTGCGTTCCATTCATCGCTCAAGTCACAGCCAAATGAAGCTGAAGCAGCCCATGCAGCTTGCCATCCATGCTTGGTTATTCGATTTGGTCACTTCAAGTTCACAGCTTTGAGCAACAGCAAATTCGCCAACTGACGGGTGCACACATCCTTGCACAAAGCGACATGCCCGTCCCCCCACTCACCCTACCCACTAGCCCCACTGGCAAGCCCATCGGTCATCAAACTGCCTGCACAGATTCTCTGCATCCTGGTCAAATTTACAACAGAGATAGAAAGAAACAGGTCACACAGAGTGCAACCCCTCCTAAGAAAATGTATGCGAGACACTTTTCCATCCTGTGAAAAGATGATACAGAGTCTCCAATGCGGAAAGGCTTTTTGCCTCCTGATACTTGCCTGTCAATGGCATGCTAAAGCACAGTTGCTGTAGTTTTCTGACCCATTCCAGGCACATTGCTGGCAGATACCTGTGCCGTACTTTGTGGTTGCATGTCACACTCTGCGTGCTCCATGTTCACTCCTGGAAATTCAGGCAGCGCTGGGCTGCCTTCGCTGCAATTTCCGAGCGAGACAGATACGGCATCATGCCCATCGACAACAAGAAGAGTTCATTTTGGAGTCCATTTTCGACTGTTTATTGCTGCAATAAATTGAAAACCAAAATAGAACAAATTCCAAGGCTCAATTCATATTCTTGCCAGAGCTGTATTCAACATCTCCTCAATACCTGTTGACCAAATGGACTATGTGGGCTATGATGGCATAGCGCGCATCCTGCGGTGCGGTGCTCATCATGCCGAAGTCCAGATATGCCAAGTCGCCATTCCTCATCGCCAGCAGATTGCCTGCAATGGCCCATCAACCAACATTGAATCCACCCTGGAAATTCAGCCAGTGCTGGGTTGCTTTCGCTGCAGTTGCTCAGATGTTGAAGTTTATCAAGCAAGCTGCTGACCAAGCACACATTTGGTATGAAGTGCTCAACGTCAGGTCCAAATCCGCTGTTGCAATGGCAAACGGGCATGTGATGGAAATTGGCATGGAAGAGACCATTTGCTCCAACTTACACCGCAACACCCAAACATGAGCGTCCAATCCAGTCTGCCAATCCTTACCAAAATGAACAGACCAAACCATCAACAATATCATCGATATCATCATCACAGTGGCCAAATAAGTCTCAGCATGCTTCACAAACCAACAAGACCCTCTTAAGCACCTCACAGTTCAGTCGCGTCTGGACAGCATCTCCTGCCCATTTGCAGCTGGCAGCACACGATTAACTTCAGCATTGCAGGCACGTCCTTACCTGGATGCGGATCGGCATGAAAGAAGCCATGCTCGAGCAGCTGCCTCAGGGCGCACTCAACTCCCACGTCCACGAAGTCCAGCACGTTGAGCCCTGCCGCTGCCATGGCCGCTGTGTCTGTCATCTTGATGCCGTCGATCCACTCCATGGTCAACACCCGCCGGGCACTGTAATCCCAATGGATGGTGGGCGTCTTTACGCGGTCCATGCCGCCGTACAGCTCCTGAAACTTCTCGCAGTTGTGGCCCTCCTGATCAGCACAAAATGACCAAAAATGTAAACACAGGACATCCAAGAAAGCGAGATATCCAACCTTAAAGAATCTAATTAATAACAGCTATATTCATGTGGCATGAGCCTTGGACATGCCATAGATGACACGAGGTGAAGCTGTGCTATAGATTTCCCACCCGATGCAAATGCCAGCTCACTGATGCATATACACTAACTTGCCTTATCTATGCTAGATATGGCAGAGTTTGGAACTGGTGTGTTTGCCTGTGCAAGCAGCAACACTCAGCACGTAATATAACATATAACATAAGAGCTGCACACCGGTGTCAATAGCATGCCAACAAAGCACTGGCACAAGGCACCTGGGTGGGATACAAAAGCTGGGTACTGAAGCATGAAAGCAAAGCACCAGCAGAGGCATTCAAGCATTGAGCACTGACATGAGCACACCTGTACATAATCCAGCTCGGCGAAAAGCTTGCTGGCCAGCTCATCCACAAAGGGCACTAGGGGCTGGCTAACTTTGAAACTCCCGATCTGATTGCTGTCAATGACGCCCATCAGCCGCCGCAGCAGCACCATGTCGAGAGCGATGGTCTCTCCGATGCTTGGCCTCTGAACCTTCACGGCAACCTCCTCTCCCGTCTTGAGGCGACCCCTGTACACCTGGCATTCACATGGCGTTGTGTTTGTCCATTGCCACCATGTTCTCCGATACTGTTGTGATTTCATCACTCACTAGCTGTCAGCAAGGCTGGTATTTCCAGTATCTGCACCCCATTTGCTCTTGTTTTGTTGCAGTATTATTCACAAACATGCTCTCATTTCACAAGCAGCCAACTGCCAATGTGCTTCCTTTCGCGCATTCCAGCGTGACATATGGCCAACACAATACCACACAAACTGACAGTGTCTTGAGTGCACAACAAATGGCCCTGCAGAAGATGGCATTGAATCGTGTGCTCGACTACTGCACAGTCCTTGGTAGATCACAAGCAGTCCAGCCATGATTTGAAAATGTGTTTTCTTCTGCCAGCTCAATTCCTAATGTTATTGAATCGTTTGTCTGGAGCCATAAGCAACCAACGTTGAAGTGTGGCAAAGCTTGCATGGCTCCTAAAGGACCGGCATCGCATTGGCCAGAAGGCTTCTTTCAACAACACATGAAGCTACCTGCCCCAAGCTTGCTGCCGCCACAGGCCTCTCAGACAGCTCAGCAAAGAGCTCCTCCACAGGGCTCCCTAGGTCCTCCTGTATGAGGGCCATGGCGATTTCCCTTGGGAAGGCTGGCAGCTGATCTTGGAGCTGTGACAGGGAATCCAAGTAGACCTTGGGAAGCAGGTCAGGCCTTGCCGACAACGCCTGCCCTATTTTCACAAATGAAGGCCTGCGCCCAGGAAACCACCATCACAACAACGACAACCGATCGACACAAAAATTCGCTGTTCCGTCACCCCCTTAGGCAATTTCGAAATGAATAAGATAGTGGCACAAAGGCAACAGGGCTGTGACAGGGTCTGCGTCTCATTCCTGCAGCTCGTGTTGGAGGACAGTTGGGCCTGGAGGCAGCATCGTGGCAGGGTGAAGGACCCAAATACCCAGCCCAGAATCTGCCGTCCTAAACCAATCAATATGTTGGCAAAGTGTCTGTTGCCGCTTTCAATGTGGAAGGGCACCATTTGGCACTAAAAGGCTTAGCAGCCCAAAGTGCCTGTGCAAAGGAACTATTACAGGCTGCTTTCATCAATGGCAGACTGGTCGCATCCAAATCTACAACAGACCCCAAAGGAACCATATTGGCTTCCAGTGAACGAATCTCTCAACTCCATCAAACCAATCTCATAATGTGAACCCTGCCATCCAGAAGGCGATGAGGGGCTGCCCAATAGCATCATCTGTTCCTGAACTGGGTGTGATCTTTCTGCATCTTTTACCTGGGTATGATGGGAAATCCCATCTAGCCAATATGCAGCTGGCCAAAGCATCCCAGCTCCCACTCATGACAGGAACCAACAGGGCTGTCGACCCTTCGCTGAGGGCTAAGAGCTAGAAATCTGTTGCAGCAGCAAATGAACTGACACCCTGACAGGGCAACCTGAAACATTGCACTACCAAAATCACTTGTGGCTTTCAGCAAAGAGTTTGCCACCGTGATTTCAAGTAGGGCTTACCCCAGTTTGCCCAGGATGCTGCTCAACTCGTCTGCCCTCTTCTTCATGTGCGCCTCAAACCGGCCAGTGGCGTAGTCCCTTGCTAATTTGGCAAAAAACGTACCCAAGCTGGCTGCCACCTGCACAGCAAGCCATCTCTCACTGAAACTGCCTATTCATCGCCTGTGTCACACGAGCACCTTTCCAACAGTGCTTGTTTGGAAGCCACATGCCAACGATGACCAACAAACTGCCAATATCTGCCAATTCACTCCCTAGGCAAGGGATCCTAAGGTGTGTTCCAGGATACTCCACAGGCGCAGACAACAGTGGTCAAAGATGTCACTATGAATCTCAACCTGTCCAAAGCCTGCCAAGAATAAGAACATGCTAGTTTGCCTTTTGTCATTCCTTGTTCGATGAATCAAGTGTTTGGTGCCCTTATGTCCCTCCCACGCTCCAGACAAAACAAACAACTGTGATGTCACAACAATGAATGCGAACTGCATGCTTACCTGAGCCGCCCTGGAGTACAGCACCACTTTTCTCCTTTCTAGTGTCTTTGCCAACTTCTCTGGGTCATACTCGATTCCCATCTCCACCAACAGCTTTGGCAGCTCTGGCGTCAATGTGTCGATCTCCATGGCCTCAACCTGCAGTAGACGAATCCACACTGACTACAAGATGACCACTGCTGCCCTTGCACACACACAAGCAAAGCATTTTGGGGCTGTTTGCAATTTCTTGTGTTCCCAGCCTGCAAGGTGCCTCAGAGGATCTTTTGTCCAGGTGGATACATTGATCCATTCAACCGGAATGATGTTGTACAATTTCATATCTCAAAATCGGAATCTTGGACTTCAGTTGCCACGTGTTGAAACAGGCATGGGTATCTTTCTGTGTTTTCTCCACCTTGTGCAGGTGATTCTGATACGATTGGAGCAACATAGATGGCATTGTGCTTCAAGCATCGCCTATTTGCTACTTAGGCTGACCCGAATATCGCGCTAATCCAAAAGCGAGCTTTAAATATTGGAGATCATCACAGTCCAATCCTCTATGGAATGGGCTTTTGCCACTTCTTGCCAACTGTGGGCCTCAGCTCCAGACCTGCTGCTTCACACACTCGATAGATGCATGCTGGACATTCTCAATTCAGCTCACACCCACCAAGTGCATAGGAGAGGGAAAACACAACAATGTGTCACGATTCTGCAACCATTATTTTGTGCACGAACACAATGTACCACCTATCACTCGCCACCCCCACACCAACCGAGCCAACCACATCTCTAGATTCCAATCCTGCTTCTCTTGGATTCTGCCCAGAATATCACTTGCTGTAATTTAGCAAATCCTGCTTGGGCACCTATGGAACAGTGCTGTCATCATCTTCTCAATACTTACGATGCTCCATCCAGGAATACAATCTCAGCAACTGATTGTCCCCACAACCAACAAGCAGCAACACAGCAGGCAAGCCACGTGCCATACATTATGCATCAACCCAATGAGCTCCAAGCAGGTAAAGTGAAGGGCAACTGGCAATTGCCAACTGATGCCGCAGGCCAACAACCCTTGCCAGGTTCATTTTTTCTGCCATCTTTGGTGACACCCTTTGAGCCCAAGATCTGTTGAAAGCAGCGAACTGGATCGCCCATGCATTCATAGCCGCATGGCAGTCAAGCCCAATTTGTCTTTGGCCATGCTGCCAATGTCCTCAATGGGATTCCTTCAGTTCCTTATCTGGACCTCAAAAACTCATAAACTGCTGAGCTTGCCTTGAGAGCCAAATCACATAAGAAATGGCCATTCCTTGAAATTCCGTGGCAGGATTTCACTTTGGCACGTGCATTAAGCCATTTCAAACCAATCAAGTTTTGAACAGAGCCATATCTGAATCCGAGCTTCTACCAGAGCGTACGACTTCTCCCCTGTACACGAACGATGTGAGAATCTGGACCAACACAATCAGCGCGTGCGTTGCTTACAGTGTGGCATCCCATCGCAATCACTGGTACGAAACGCCATATTTTCAATGGCACCTGTGACGCCATTTTGACACTATATGACGCCATCATAGTGATGGCGATTGCATTAAACAGTGTCGAATGGCATCGCAGCTTGCATCAAAATAGTGCTGTTGTCTGTGGGTGGATGCGAAAACAACACCGGCCGCGTGGCGACCATCAGTTGGCCGCCCGCCGGGACAAGTACACAGCCCACCCTCGGACACTGTGACCAAAACCAGTTGCCAAGCCAAAATCTGCCAGTTGCCACGACCAAGAAATTGCCGGCATCGTCGCCACAAGCCCATTTTCGGTTATAAAGTACTACACGCCCAATCTCTTCGCGCGCAACGCAGCCTCGCTCCTTGTCGCACGACTCCATGGCCGCAATCAAACCGCCACAACGCCTTGCTGTGCAGAATGCAGTATAAGCACACCACCCAGTCCGGGCACGCCCAAAGCATGGGTGCTCCCCTCCACTCTCCATATCCCAGTTTTTGGCCCCACCCCCCACCCCCTTTTGGCTCTCCCCATTGCTTCTATGTGGATATCGTTCCCTGCAGGGTTGTTGGTGTGGACAGCTCTTCGCCAATGGACATGCTACATTGACACTTGATGTTCTCCTTTGCATCCGCCTTGTTTTGTGTTGGGGCTCCCGTTAAATCTCCCTCAGGGTAGGGGAAAAGTGGGATTATGCCACATTCTTCTGTCTTGTAACAGTCTTTCCCCCAACCCCTCTATTTCTCTTTGTTTCACTTTCTCTTTGTCCTCCCTTCTCTTTGCACCATTTCTCTTTGTTTCTCTTTCATTCATAACATTCCCCCCCCTCCTCCCTTTTTCTTGAACCAAACTCACCCAGCCCTTCTGCCCCGTCTCCGTGAAGAACCACTCGTCGGCGTCCGCCTCCCGCGCCCGGGCCACCCCCGCCGCCCCCTCGGGCCCCGCCGCGCAGCAAGACATCCCCCCCGCCGTCGACCGGTCAGAATTCCATGACCCAAATGGCCTCCGCGCCCCCTGGCGAGCATACCAACCGGCGCCGGACCGAACCGCCCGGGTTGGCCGGGTCGCCGTCCCGGAACCCGGGATAGCGCCCGCGGACGGCAGCTCCTTGGATGGGGCCCTCATGCCTTAATCCCCAGGACGCCCCGAACCCCAGAAATCTTCAAGCCCAAGGACTCCCCGAACCCCAGAAATCTTCAAGCCCCAGAAGTCTTCGAGCCCCAGGAATCTGCGAACCCCAGGAAACTTCGAGCCCAAGGGAGCTTCGAGCCCAAGGAATCTTCGATCCCCAGAGATCTTCGAAGCCCAGCAATCCGCAACGCCCGGGAGTCTCTGGCGTGTTCTGTCGAAGGCAGAAGCGCCCCAAAGTCGCGAGGAGCGAGGAGGGAAAGAGGTGTTGCGCTGGGCAGGGCGGCGGGAGGGGGGCTTGTGGGCGGGACTGGGGGACGGAAGGGGAGGCCACTCACTGGAGCGGACTGTATGGGCGGGGAAGATGGGCGCCAAACAAGTCAGCCTCGGGTTGCCTGACGTCGAGCCCTCGTCAGCCGTGGTCTCGTACCAGAATGTGTTAGTCCCTCTGTCTTCCGTGTGGATCACTCCTTCCGCGGACAAGGCCAACGCCGGTCAGTGGACCAGTGGTTTAGGGTTCAGGATGTCCGGTAACGAGATGGGAGATGGGATCCACACGTAAAGACAGAGCGACTAATCTCATGCCCGGCATCTGGCCCCGCACCCTGACCACCGTTCCTTGGTCGGTGCGAAGCGCGGATCCAGGTTGCCCCCAGTTGGCTCCAATCACTCAACTCCACACCAGGCTGAGTAGTGTCGTGCCCACGACCTCGCGCACGCATGGCGTAGTTGGACTCCGCGGGGCGCAAGAGCTCCAGATCGGGGTCTTATTTCGGTCAATGCGCTTCTAATGGCCAGGACACTTCAAAGCATGCCGAACATTGCAATTGAGTGGGTGTGGCTTTGGACAGTGCTTGCAGCGTCGTTCGTCTTTGTGGGAAAGTATCCGTTTACTGGCCCCAATTGGCTCACGTGCTACGAAGCTCCTGGCAGCCGTCTCAGCCTAATCTGAGTTTGTCCCTTGAATATTCAAAGGACAGTCCAAGTTGGGCAAGGCGCTATGTCGATTTTTTTAAGGTTAGCGTCAATTTTGTAAACTCAGAGATCCCCCCCCTTCCTTAGTGTCGATCTTTCTGTCGATGGCAGTATGACTCAGCAACATTACCTAACAATGGAACACAATTTCTATTTGTTCTTGAGAAGAGAAAATGCTCAGAGTTGTGCAAATTTTGGCGGGCTGAAAATTGTGATCTTAGAAGCCATTACAGGCAGAGAGGGCAGCTTTAATAGCTGTAAATTGACACATTGCAAGGACTGCCTTGAAGACTGAACAATTCAGTGAGGTTTAGGAGCAAGTATCGAATGTTTTCCTGCTGATCAGCAGCGCTTTCAGGCATCTTTCCTCCTTATGTTGCTATTACATAATCTCTTGGCGTCACAGGTCTGGCCCCGCCCCCTTTACCGTCAAACTGACGCTAAGCGCAACAAAATCGACATGGTACTTCCCTCAATGAGGGAAGCACATGACATGTTGATGCTTGCGAGAATCTCCAATAAGGCCTCGCATATCTGTGATCGATTTGTGAATTTGAAAACGGGGCAATTTATACCGCCATTTGAGGATGGCGCAGGAAAAGCTGGGCAACTTCGGTGCGCGTCACGAGCGACCAAGGGCCTGAGAGATTGCTGGAAACTCTGTCAGACTATCGTGAGGATGCTATTTGGAAATCGTCATATGAGCGCTGGGCCTGATGAGGCTGTCTTTGGACATTCTGGCAACGTCGGAATCTGGCTGCTCACAGGCAGAGTGTTGTGAAGATGTCCGTGACTTGTACATAGTGGCGTGGACGGTATCGCGTTTGTATTGCATGCATGTATATACGGAAATCTGCTGCAGATTTTTGCATATGCGCATATGCATGTATGCAGGCAACACAAAGTCAGCAACTGACTTGAGCGGAAGGAATGACTGATAATTGCAGAGAGACCTCGTCCGGCGATGAGCATCAGCAGTGGTGCAAATCGCCACCTCGCGCATCCTAGTTGAGGTTCTTAGCTGGTGGAAATTGCCATGCAGAGGTGACTGCCCTGGAAAGGATCGTTCTTGAAGTTCCGCTGACCCACGTTGCAGAGGTATCTTTGCGATTACAGAAAAGGTTGCAGTCCATCATTCCAGCCGTACTTGATGTTGGAAACGACTTCCTGGGGTGCCGTTCTGGTCCAAATTCGCAGCAAAGCGCTGGACATTCCAAACATATGTTTCCGAGGTGAAATAGGGGGACGTCTGGCGCCTGACGCCATTCCAGGGCAGCCAAGGAAGTTTGAAGCAAATGCTGTACCAGAGCCATAACCTTGTCGATTAAGAATTGCAGCTCATGTTGTAGAGCACTGGCGTCAAACATCTTTGCCGAGCGCTGCGCTGGCCATGGGTACGCAGGTGGGTCGAGGACGTTGTGGTGTGCCGCTTCCTTGTGCACCCTCGAGACAACCTCATCGTCGACTATCGCCAAGAAAACATATCTGTACCGCTTGATGGCACAGTTCAGATTCGGGATTTGTGATCTCATTGTATGATGAGGTGCAGCCCAAATCCGGATACGAAGTGGTTTTGGACCATGCTATGTGATATGGACGTCTGGAGCAGCTGCGTGTTTGCTGGAAAACTATTGCACTGATCAGATTTTTGGAAGTTTGCACAAATTTCAGATACCATCCATTTCTGGCCGTGAGGCTGCTCTGCAAGTCGTGAGAACATGACGCAGTGACATGTGGCGCAGGAATGTGCGCAAAGTGGCGGGCGGAACCGTACTCCAGCAGTACGATACGGACCGATGTGTACGGTGCACGGATGCGTATGCAGGTGTATCTGGTCAATACTATATGGATCGATACGTACCGATGCCCCGTCCGATTCGGGAACTACCTTGATCCTCCCAAGCGCTCCATTACTTCCCCAGCTCCACGCAGCCAAGCGACCACACCTGGCCACCCCGCTCTTCCCCAGGCCCTCGAGGCCCCACCCCCAGGCGCCTCCTTCGCCATCCCGGCGGTCCATCTCCGGCCACCGCATCAGAGGCCCACAGCCTTGCCCGCCGGGCCTGGGATGCGCATCGCCCCTTTGTCGGGGCGGTGGCCAGGGTCGGCATGACCGCGGGCGGGCAGGAGCGCGCCCTGAGCAAGGAGGAGCTGGTGCAGGCGGGCCGGCGCAAGGTGCGGCGATCGGAGGGGGGTGTGCGGGCTGTCTGTGTGGGAGATTGGCTGGGGCGTGGGATGTGGCGCGTGATTGTGGGTCCTCGGGCCTTGGAGATGGCGCCAAAAAGGGGTGTGATGGCGGACGCTCAGCGTTCCCCGCGCCTGGCCTTGCGCTGGCTTGGTCTTGCAAGGCGGAGGAAGGAGCCTCGATTAAAAGGCCTGTCCAGGCGATTGCCGCCTGCTGTGCGACGTTCCCCTTCCCCTTTTGGCAATAAAATGGCTGCCACCCCGTCGGCTGCTGGTGGACGCTGCGGGCGCCCGCTCCTCGCGTGGCGCTCGCTTCGCATCCCGAAGCATTAGCAGGAGCCTCGATCAAAGGGCCTGTACGGGGAGTTGGCGCCCGATGTTCGACATTTTCCTGCCCCCTGTAGGCAAACCGTGGTTGCCAACCCCTCGCCCGCTCCCCATTTTGGGATCCGCCCCGGCCCTGTCTGATGTTTCCTCGCGCCTCGACCGCCCCTGGCCTGCGCAGTTGGATGCATTCCGCCGCAACAAGGCGATTGGCGCCCTCTATCGGACATTTCTTCTCCCCTTTTGCCCACACAATGGCTGCCACCCCCTCGGCTGCTCCCTATGTTTGCGGGCTGATGTTCCCTCGCGCCTCGGCCGCGCCATGCCCGCGCAGTTGGACGAGTTCCGCCGCAAGAAGGCCGCCGCCAAGACCGCCGCTGCTGCGTCCGCCCCTGCGCCCGATCGACCCGGTTCGAAGACCCAACCGCCCTCCACCGGCTCGAGCGACGCGCCGAATGGCGACCACGTCGCGTCCGATGGGCCCCCGGCCGTCGGGGCGGATCGAGGGGCGGTTCCCGGCGAGCGGAGGGCGAGATCGGCGTCGCCGGCGGCGATGGGACTCGCGAGCGGCTACGCGGCTCTCTCGGACAGCTACCAGAGCGACGGTGACGGGAGGGGCGGGGATGGCGGAGACGGAGGCCCGGCGAGCTCTGGGCTGGGCAGGTGCGTGTAGTAAGATTTGTAACAAATCAAAGAAACATGGCGTGCAACGAGCATTGCATTCCGAAGCAAATGAGTGTGGGGCTCTTCTCCCTGCTGTAAAAAGATGATGTAGAGCCTCCCCTGGGGAAAGAATCACAGGCAAATGCACCACTGGCAGGTGCAGGGGGTGGGTGGGTTGGCTGGCTGGTTCGGCGCGAGCGACTTGGTGCTGGTGGGATGGGGTTTGTTGATTTTCGCTGTTGGTATTTCCAATCATATGAAGCACTGTTTCCTATGATTGGGAAAGGCATTGGCTAGCTGGTTTGGCGCGGGTGACTTGGTGCTGGTGGGCTGAGGTTTGTTGATTTTCACTGTTCGTGTGTCCCAATCGTATGGGGCACTGTTTTCTATGATTGGGTAAGGAAATGGCTGGCTGGTTTGGGACGAGTGATTTGCTCCTGGCAGGGTTGAGACTTCTTCATTTTTGCTATTGGTGTTTCCCAATCATATGAAGCATTGTTTCCTACGATTGGTAAAGGAAACATGTCATCCGGAGGGCAGGCCCTTCAAAGCAACTGTCCAAGCAAGTGTGCGCGAGGGCAACCCCTTCAGAGCATTTGTTCAAAGCAATCGTGTGTGAGGGCGATGCCTTTGGAGCATTCTTGATTAAATCTCTGTGCCATTCCTGGCGAGGCTGGGGAGTTTTTGGTTGTGCTGGCGTTGCATGGGATCGGTGCACTGTGTTGTGCGGCGGAGGGGAGTCGCGCAGGGTTGGTTGGATGGGTTAAGGGTGCCATGCGGGTTGTGGTCAGAAGGCAATCTTCTGAAAATACGGATGTGCGTAGTGACATGGGAACACTCAAATTTGCGCAGTTGGGAATTGCAGCCCAAGTGTGCAGGTTTGGTGGCAAACGTCTACAGGCTAGGTACAATTAGTTGCAAACGTGGCAAATGCGTCTGCAAACATGGCCACGAGTGCAAACAAGGCGCAAGGGCTCAAAATGGGTATCCAGAGGATGGTTAGGTTGTCTTGGGTAGGGTACTGCATGGTCTCTTGCACAGCTGGATGACCAAATGGCTGCATGTCCAAACTCGCCTGGAAGGAGCCCTTTGCAGCACATGGGCTGTGCAGAGAAGGACACGTTGGGTTCAAAACCAGATAAAACTGCTTTTGGTGGTGGTGTTTGTATGAGGAGATGATCAGAGCCAGAGAAATCCTCGTAGCAAGCCAAAATCCCAAGAATAGAAGGCGTTCTGCACTTGTGTTCAGGGTCGCAATTGGCTGCATCACCGCGTGCCCTTGCTATTCTGAACAGGGTCCAAAGTCTGCCCCTGTTGAATAATGTGACAGGGAAAGGGTCTTGTGCACATGCAACAGTCCAAACTTGAGTACCCAAATTGCACTGGGGCAAAGTGTCCCCATATTACCTGTTGAAGAGCTGTGGGCTTCCAGTGGGCTTGATTGTGGTTAAGCTAGGAAAATATCAGCTCGTGTGCTGGGGAAAATCAACTCATGGGTAGAGATAAAGTACAAGGGGGGTATAGAGCATCCATCAACCGCATTGAAAATGGCAGGAGCATGCAACTAACTTCATCAATTTTTTTTCAGCATCGATTTGGGGAAAGCCAGTTCCTCGCAAACAGGCATTTGAAACTGTTGAAACTGTGGCAGTTATAGTCACAGCTTGAAACGCGGCGTTTGCATCTTCCATGCAACACTTCCCCCTTACATCTCTATTTTGCTCGATGTTTCCAGATCTGTCACCTGGCAGATGTCACTCAAAGCCTTTTCAAGTCATACATTGGCTCACTGCACACAACAGGATACAAACCTGCCTACCAATTTGTCCAGCTGGCATGCAGCACAAATCAGCACTTGTCGTTTTGACAATGTCCAGTGGACTGGCAACCCTGCAAATGTTATTGATCATATTGTAATCATGTATCTTTCTAGGATGTCACATTTTCCTTCAGGTTTGGTTCTACCAACACGTTTCGATGCGTTCTGGTAGCTTGTCCTATGGAACCATGGAACATTCCCTCCCACTGCACGGCCATTTGTCTCTCTGATTTGTAACACACCACAGGCCACATTATCTAGACCCCCCTGAGTGCATCCCAAACTGCAGCTGTGCCTTCCCCTCTTTGTACTTCCACTGCACTTCTGCTTCCCCAGCGCTTAAGCAGCACCCTCCATGACGATCGGTGTCGTTCTGTTTGCTCCGCAGCGTGCAGCGGGAGTCCTTCAACTCCGACAACGCACCGTCAGCACACGGCCCATCCCCCCCGCAAGACGCCCAGCCGCCCGCCAGCGCCTCCCCAGGCCCCGCCTCCGGCCACCCGCCCCCCTCTGGCAGCATCTCAGACCTGCCCATCTCCTTCGACGTGCAGAACGCCTCCTTCGACAGCACCACGACCGGGCCCGACCTCGCCCCGCCGGGCTCCCTCCTGCCGGTGTCCTTCAGCGCCCCTGGGACCTCCTTCGACTCCCAGGCCTCCTCCCGGGCCCACCTCTCATCCGAAAACCTGTGGGACCCCACCCGCGGTGCCGGCCGGACCACCCCGCAGCACCAGGCCAGCCCGGAAAGCCCCGTCCCCGCGCTCGACTTCTCCAGACTGGGCTCTGCGTCCAGACCTGGCCAGCAGAACGTCAATGCGGGGATCTGGAATGCCACGGGGCCCAGCGGGGGCGCCGGCGGCAGCGGCCAGCTCGCCAGGGACCAGCCCACGAGCACGACGAGCACGGTGGTGTTCCCGATGAGCAGCATCACGAGGTCGCTGTCTTTCGGGGAAGCCGAGGGCGGGGAGAACGACTACGGGGGCGCGGGCATGCCTCCCGCGCCGTTCAGCTCGCCGCGGACGGGGGGAGGGGATGACTACGGCCTGGCCCGGGTGTCGCCGGAGACGGCGCCCTCGGCGGTGTCGCCCCAGACGGTGGAGATCATCAGCACGCCCAGGGGGTCCACCACGGAGACGGGGACGGACTTGTTCTCCGAACGCACGGGGAGCTACAGGGACCAGTCGAGGTGGGTGGTGTTGGGCCACACCGGACATATTCGGATAGAGCATCACGCACAGTGGGCAGGTTGTGGTGGTTGTTGGCACATAGGCAAAGTGATGGGCAACAATGGAGAAGGGAACGAGTTGTTCTTGGAGCCGCAGGCGCTTATCGCAGTGAGCATCACGATGTGCATTATGTGCTGCAGAGATTCAGTTTCGTGCCCTGTATCATGTGCAAGCGATGCACATCGGTCACCTTCACCGGACCAGATAGTCAATCCATTTGGCTGCATCGCTGAAGAGTGACATAGCACTGCCATTGCACCTTCACGTGATTGCAGGCAGTTTTACCATCCACAGCGCTTGATCTGCAGATTTCTTGATGCATCACTTCTTCCAAGCGCAACATCGAAATAGGCAGTGTAGTTGCAGATTTCTAAGTGGCAGATAAGAGACATCTGGCTGCATAGATTGTCAATTCAATAGTTTAAATGTACATGTCTATATGCCCAGATGGCATGACAAGCAACAGTGCAACAATCCTATTTTGGAAGCACAGGGGCATGAGTACACGAATCACTAACCATTTCAATGCAATATGCATTTTATGTATCTTTGGTATATTGCTCCGTGTTGCTTTTGTAGTGTAGGCCTATGAGCAGTGTGGACAACTGCATGGCCAAGGCAAAAAATTCTATTGAGCTGAGACCGTTTGTTTCTGGCCTGCTGTGTGCAGGGACCCCTTCGGGATGCCCACTGCCGGCAACTCCTACTCCTTCGCGGGCCTGCAGGCCCACATAGACGACCTGACCCAGGAGAAGTATGAGCTGCAGCGCGGCATGGAGTCCCAGGCCAAGATGGCCCAGTCCCTTGCTGAGGAGAACGAGGCGCTGGCCGAGCGCTTCAACGGGCAGGGACGGGAGCTCGAGGCGGCCAGGAAGGAGCTGGAGCAGTGCAGGGCGGAGGTGAGGGCCCAAGGCATGGCGATGGAGTCCCTGGCCAACGAGAGGGATGGGTGCAAGGCGGGGGCGCAGGAGGCGCTGGAGAGGGTGCAGGTGGGCATCCACTTGGTGCTGGGTTTTGTAAAACTATGGGGTCAACTGCCTTGGTTGTCTGCTTTAGTTTCTGCTCTGGGTTATTGGCGAAATTGCAGTGTTTCTTTGATGGGTGGTACGCTGCTGGCCCCAGGACCAAAGCACTGCAAAACCTGCAGATTCGGTGCATGTTGTCCTTTCGTAGATTAGGCAGTGGTGGGCACAAAGTCGTTGTGGCCATGCTGTGGTCAATGATGAATTAGACTGAACAGTGCGCTGCATATCTGGCTCGCCAGCTTTTGTATCAGGCTGTTTGTCAAAGTTTGTCTTGGAGCATTCATCTATGCTATGCGGGCACTGCCACAAATGTCATTATGTTGTGAAATGTTGCACTGTATTCAGCAACTGGGTCGTATTCAGATGTATGACAACCGCATATATTAATTATTCAGAGGTGTTGCAACTACAACTACAGATGCACTACAACAGTGAACTGATCAGATCCTTGCAGCAACTCTGCAGTGGTGCGGACTGTTGTGGCCGTGCTGATGTGGGTGTACGCGTCCGTTCACAGGCCATGGTGGAGGAGAATGTGGGCTTGGAGGAGCGGGTGCGGGAGCTGCGCGTGAAGGAGATCCGCCTCACCAAGCAGCTGGAAGACTCCCAGGAGGAGTGCCGGAGCTTGGGGTCCGTGTTGCAGAAGCTGAGGGGTGAGCGAGACTGGCTGCTTGAGGCGGGGCCCAAGGGCCAGCCTGAAGGCACGGAGGGCAAGGGGCCAGGGGAGGAAGGTGGGGCATCAGTAGTTGGCGGCTGTGAGCATTGCGCCTCAGGAGTGCTGTGCCACTGTATGTGCACTTATTGACACTGTTTGCAAGGATGGTCAAGTGCATGCAGCAGTCGTTGAAACATTGTGGTCAATGCTGCCATGGGCGCCACAAAGCGGTGCTGCATCTGACCTGGCCATTGACACGTGCATGTGATGTCACCATACGTTTTTTACGTACTTTACCCAAAGAACCAGAAGTGCAAACTTATGGGAGTTGCGGGGCAGGACAGTGTCACGATTTACGTAGATTTCCATTGCGTAGAGTTGAAAATGACTCACAGGCAACGGCATATGTCTCAACTGAGCACCGATCTGTAGATAGCATCAATTTTTTCCACGGTGTTGAATGGCCTTACAATGTCTAGCAGACAAGCACACCTTGCAAGAGTTTTGAGGTCTATTTTGTCTGTTTTGAGGTCTCAGCTGTCTGTCGCTTGGCTGTCATCCATCGTCACGCGAATACAGTATGGCCGTGCTTCAGCCAACATGCAATGAAAATTAGCCAAAAAATATGAAAAATAGCCAAAAAGTATGAAAAATAGCCAAACACTGTTGCTGTTCATGCAATTCGTACATTGCCCAGGCTTCCCATGACTTCTTGCTGGCTGTGCTGCTTCCTTTATGTCCCAAGCGCTGCATCATATCAGCTGGCTGAATGAGTTTCTCAATTCACTGCATACTGCACCTACATACATACTACAGTAATACATACAGTAATACATACATACTACATACAGTTAATGTGCATGTCAGATACCCTATGCTCTGTGCTGTTAGCATGCCGGCTGTGGCAACCATCCAGTGGGTCGAATGTGGTTGGGTCTTCTTCTGCTGTGAATTCTCTGCAACGTCTTGGCTACTTGTGGACTTGTGTGATGATGTTATTGCGTGCTCTGCTGATGTTAGGGCCCAAGGTGCTTTTGGTGAGCACTGCGAGGCAATGTGTAGGCCGCTAGAATCCTGAAGATGCCTGACGAGTTGACTTCATCGGGGGCATGTGACATGAAAAATTTTGATCGCAACATAAATGCAACATAACAGCAATACAACACAGCAATAACATAACTGTTACAGCAATAACAATGGTAACAACGCAAGAACAACATAACGATACTGACTGTGTTGTAATTTCACGCTGCCTTGAGGGTGCATTCCTTCATTAATTCAGTCCTGCCGTGTGCACAGGCAACCCCAAGTCCCATATGGCGCCCCCCTCCCCGCCTGTGCAGACCCGCTCCACGGGCATGCAGACTGAGCCCATACCCCCTGACACACCCCCGCCTGCCCCCTCTGCCCCCCACACTCCCCAGCAGGAGGCCCTTGCCCTGGGCCGGACCCGGGACCTGGGGGCTGGGCCCACTGGCCAGGACTTGGGGCCCCGGGAGGAATTGGTGCCTGACGTGGCGCCCCTGGCGTTGCTGGGCACGCTGACGGCGGAGGTTTCTGGGTTGGGGGATGAGGAGGGGCGGGTGATGGGGGCCATCGATGGGCTGCTGGACGGGCTGCAGGAGCAGAGGCGGGTGATGGTGGCACGGCTGCACGCATCAAAGGTGGGGCGCTTGATGCCTGGGACTGGATAAGCCTGCCTGTTTTGGCAGTGTGGATGGTGGCTTTGTGTGTTGCTATGTGGGAGTGGGGAGCCGCAGGGATATGTGTGTGTTATGTATCATTTTGGTGTGTGTTCATGCATGCATGCTATTCTGAACGATTGCCTAGTTTTGCCGCGTGTGGATATGGGCTTTAGTCACGCAAAGCTGATGAATGTGTGTTGATTGCATGCCTGACAATGAAGCAGGATCCACTTGCGAGAAATATTAAAGTACAACTGGTTATGGATATGTTCCGAACGGCAACAATTGAATAGTGTGGTTTGGCGATATTCTGTAGTAGGTGTTGGCCAATGCTGTATGGGTAAGTGGGTTAAAGGGAAGATGGCAGCATGGTTGTATGTATTGAGAATGTGGTGTCCCAGTGTGAGGACGACCACTGTGCTAAAGGCGCAGGGAAGATTGTCATGTTTCGTGCTGCTGCACTGCGCTTGGTGATGATGCTGTGCCATGGGATGGGATTCCTGATCGATTGTGACTTGGATGTGTAGAATGCTTCACAGGCCAAAGAATGTCACAGAAGTGAAAACTATGGCCCTCTTTTGCTTTGTCGCATTGAAAAGCTGATTTTGAGCATATGTTTATGATGAGGGAATCTGGTAAACACCTGTATCACGTGTACCACAATGACCTGCGAAAGCAAAGGGTGCAAGTCATGCACAAACAGCAGATACAGAGAAGAACTGGATGCACATAGTATGTGCAAAGTTTGTATGCACAATTTATGTGTGCAAAACGTGCATTGGCCACAAACTGGCGTGTGTCTCATGACGCGTGCTCTTGCAAAGCAATTCGAGGTCCATGCAAGCTGCTGCCGAGCTGCCTGTGTCTTGTCATTGAGTTCAGAAGATACACACCTCATGGATACTGTCTCGTTTGGTATCGTATGCATTAGTTCTTGATGCCTTTGTGCATGTGCGCACGTGAAGTATGCACGAAGTTCGTGTGCACAGCCTGCATGTACTTGACAACTGCCTCACAGCTCGTGCCTCTGCATGCAGGCGGAGATCACAAATCTCAGGGCCGCCAACCAGGACCTGTCCCGAAAGCTGCAGAGCCAGACGCACAAGCTCGAGCTGTCGCTGCGCTCAAACGGCGGTCTTGGCCAGCAGCCATACGACGACCGCCCAGTGTCGCCACCAATATCCCCCGCCAAGTCGGAGCCCATCGCCATGCGGCCCCGGGAGCAACACCCACCCCAACAGAGGGGGTGGGTGGGATGGATGTTTGGCCAGCCGCGGCAGTTGGCACGAGGCAGGCTGACATGATGCGACAGCCATGACAGGTAGGCAATCGATTTATGCGATGGCGGCCTCCGATGTCAAATGCCTGTGGATGCTGGTGAGTGTATTTCAAGGAACGTTATCGACAGTCAGGCTGTGTGATGGGGCCAGTTGCGGCAGCCGGGCTTGGCGGACTGACGTGACAGCAACCCCAGGCTGCATTGGTTGAACAAGGTGCATTCATGCCTTTGCCCCGTTGATGCTGCTTTACTGTGTAACAGAAACGGCATTTTGAAAGTCGGTAAATGCAGGCAAGGGCGTGTCTGGGGAATGTTGGTCAGGGGGAGCCAGTGCGGACTGAACGTGGTCAATGGGTGCTGGAGAAGGGGCTCCAATCCTTGAATTGCTTTTGTCAAGCATGACAAAACATAGCCCTTGCACCTTGAAGGAATGCAGGGAGACGTTGGAGAAGTTACGTGCAGAGGATTTTGAGGTGAAGGATTTTGAGGTGGCAGCTGCTGTCACGGGAGCTCCTGTTGGGTGCAGGTCCTTTTTTTTGTTGTTGTGGGGTTGCTTAGCCTGACAGAATTATTTCATTGGGGCTGGGTTGGGTGGTGGGGCACTTCATCCCTTGATAGGATCGGGGAAGAATCCGCCTGATCGACATCGGGCGGCATGTAGGTGGGCTAAAGCAGAGAAGATCACGAATGGTGGTCAGTGGCCACTAACGTAGGGGCTGCCAGTCGGAGCATATTATCAGACAGTTTCGCGATCCACCCATAGCTCGCGTAGTCCTGGCCTCGCCACAGTGGTTTGCATTGCGCTTGTCTTGCCACAGGACTCTAAACTACACATGTGCATCGACACAGCCCGTTGCGCAGTACTTGCAATCCGGCAAGATTGCAGACAGTGTGGATTTTCTCTGAAACGGTGCCAAACGGGTGATGGGGGAAAAGCTGGTGTCACACAATTTGTGTGCTGATAGAATCAGTGAACAAGGGGAAAAAAGGGTGGGTGGGGGCTAGCACCTCTCTATGGTGTGGGCCCTGCCAGCAGAGGTATCTGTAAGGTGCATTCAAACAATCGAGTAGTGTGTTCATCACTTGGTTCTTCAACTGTCGTAAAGAAAATTGAAAGTGGCTGTTCCTCCAGCGGCTGTTGCTTGTCGTCGCCATGCCAAGCCCATTGTCTTTGCCCATCACCAACAAATCTGTGCAGTGTACTGTCTCGACGTCAAATGCACCAAAGTCCATCTCTTTAGCAAAAAATAACGCCCTCCATGCTCTACAGGCCCAACAGCGCTGCTGTTGTGCTTTTGGACTGTAGGGTTTCTGGATGCCATGGACAGTCTGCATTCAGACTTGTGCTGGAGTGCTGACGCAATGGCAGTGCTGACGCAATGGCAGTGCTTTGTCACTGTGCAGCGGGTGCACCCCCTAAGGGGCAGCATAGGGCGATTTTGTCACACTTAACGTCTGTTGATGGTTAACGCAATAATGAATGGTCCATTGATGGAAGTCAGCCCCTCCCCCCCTGTCTTGTTTTGCTCTACTTGCACTAGAAACGCCAAATCAACTTTTAACGGTTAGGAGCAAACCTTCGCACATGCTTTGCTTAGGATGGGGTGCCCTTTGCTTGATCAGCTTCCTTTTCCCGGCTGCGACTTGACAACTAGATGGAGTCACGTGTGCAGTCATCTTGACTCAAATTGCTGGCGTAAGGGAAGACACTGTGTCAAACTTGGTACGCCCAGCCCCCCCCCTCCCCCCCCCCCTTTCTAAAACTATCCTTAAATCGATGCCAGGATGACTCAACAACATCACCCACTAGTGCAAAATAGCATCAAAATGTATTTAGGGGAGAAAACCGCCAAAGCTAAAGCGATTGCAGTGGGTTGAAGAAAGTTGTCGCAATTGTGGTCGTATGCTGAAAGTCATAAGCAGTGATAGGCTGTGGGAGCAGCCCCAAAGGCTATTTATTGATTCACTTCAGGGAATTTTGAAGGAGGTTTTGGAACAAGCCATGAGCTGTCTGCCGCTGATCAGTGGCGTTTTGTGCTTCTTCCCACTTTGTTTGATTCAACACAACTACACAATCTCTTCGTGTCAATGGCCTGGACTCCACCATCCTCCCACCCCACCTTCCGGTGTCCATTGACGATATGCATGCCAAAATCAAAGTAGTGTCTTCCCTTAGGCAATGACACAAAGTCAAGGGTCTAGACCCGAGAATACATTAATCCCCTGTGTCTTCCGTGAAGATCCTTTCTTCCGCTGGCAAGGCCGACGGGGGTCAGTGTGTCAGCAACTTAGGGTTCAGGTTGTTGAAATAGGAAGGGTCTTCACGGAAAAGACAGAGCGACTAATTTCACGCCTCCAGACCCCTTCCTCTCTGGCGCCAATTGACTTCAACCGTTACAACAGCGCTGAATGTCACATTGCACATGCAGAGTCTCAGCAAGTTTACAAATTGCCCACTCGCTTGTTGGGTCACACATCCTGCGATCTGCCCAACACACACACCTCCCATCCCTCAGCATCCACTCCAGCAATTTCTCTCCACTTTCTCCCATTTTCTGTTCTCTTTCCACCCTCCTGTCGTAGTCACCCAAGACACTACCAATCTCTATCGTCTCTGTGCCAGTACCTCAATTGCACCCCACGTACGATCTCGTTGCAACTATTGTAGTAAACTACTACTGCTAACGGTAAAGCATGATGATGCACCAGACCAGCGTCAGGCCATCATCAACATTTGTTGTCAGGAAACAAATGCACCATGTAAACCAACCCTAATGTCGAATCATCCACATTTTCACACAAGTGAGTGAAAGCATGCGAGCCAAGCCTCTATAACATGGGTTGCAAAAGATGGCCAGCACACAAAGCTGTGCTACAATAGGGAAAGCACTGCCAAGGCAAAAGAGTACTGAATGATGCGCTACTTGCAAGCTGCCAGTTGCCTGTGCATGTTCCCCTCGATGCGGTGGGCCATCAACACTGCTCGCGATGCGCCATATAAAGAATTCAAGTTCACTGCAGCACAGCTTTTGCACCAGCAGTTGTAACATAACGCTCCGCATCGCACGGCACATTCAATATAGTTTCAAGTGCCCGTCCTGTAGTGCTCCATGCACCATGTCCCATCACAGCGTATTTCGAACCACACCTGCGTGCCTTCACCCTCTCAGTTGCCTTGAGACACAATGTCGTGCTCCACAGTGGCATTTTCCGTGCAATTTGTTTTGCACATAGTACATTCCATAGTCATATGTTAGCTCTTGGCCAGGTGCCACACGGGTCATCGTGAAGAGGCAAATCTTGGGCATCTTGCGGTCAAGGTGGTCACTGAGGATGGGCTGGACAAAGAGGTTGGGGTTGCACGAATGGTTGACGAACCTATTAGGATCAAAGCCAAAAACCCACATGTTAAAGAAGCAACACTGTAACTGGCTCTGCTTGTTAGGAGCATTATTGGGGGATTGCGGCCGGAGCAGCAGGTCGGAGGAATTCGGTTCAACACTAAAAATGACACTAATGAACAAACTGTATATGACAATCTCTGCGGTGGATTAAAGGGGCAAAGCATGTAGTCCCTCTGCAATCAGCGGACATTTGTAGAGTACCGTACGCGTGGTGCACCCCCACAATGGGAGACCACGGCAGTGCAACGAGCAAGGGTGGCCAAGATTTTCCCTTCGTAGCTACGTGGCAGCCCGGAAACTAGCTCTCCAACTTGGTTGCCACGTGTCGAGATTGTCAAATAACCATTGCATCATCAGATAGACAATATGCTTAGGGCAAAAGTACTTTTAGGCCGATCCATGGGACCCACCACCCTCCTCAAGGAGATTGAGCGAGTGGGTGACCAAATTACAGTGTGGGGACCTACCATCTAGTGGAAGGGTGGCCTAATCCGGCACATCATCTGGCGACCTTGGAGGGAATGCCATACTGAATTCCAGCTCAAGCAACAGATGAAAGGGGTGGGGTGGGGGGAACATGTGTTGTTATGGGGCTAATGTGAGCCCCTGTGCGTAGGATGGTGATGTAGGAGTCATCTGACCCCCAAGTGTCACTACATAAAGTACATAGTACCAAAATAGCAATTGTCATTGTCTGTTCTCTGTTCCACTTCTGAAACACCCTATAACTCAGTCCCACATTGTTATACTTCCTCCGTCCGGAATTAATTGTCCTCTATAACTTTGGTGCCTTACTTCTCTATCATAGAGACTTTATTTCTCATTCAAATTTCTTGTAAAACTACGCCTATGTTTTAAGAGTATGCAATCAAAGTTTTAAGTCAATGCATTGAGCATTGCGGATTTGGCAGCACTTTGCAACAAGGGTCATCTAGCCAGAAACCCACCAGTTTTTCAACATCCGTGCTGGAATGGCCATTTTTACTGTTTTGAGCAGCACGCCTTTGCGGCAGCGCTACAGAGCCGCCCGGGCAAAACTATCCACGTCATTTGGTCAGGAGATCATGGAGGTGCTGTCAAAGGAAAAGGGCAACAGAAAATGTGTCTTGAAAGTCTTGATCGTGGAAGTCGCCGTGTTTTGCGGCTGCAATTCAAGTTCGATTGGCCAAATCAGAGATGCCCATCAGGTCCAAATTTCTGAACCACGACTTTTGGACCTCCAACTCCACTGTGAGAGGTACTGCAAGAGGCCCCCAAAATTCCTCGCAGACCTTCAGGAAGGTGGTGGCCATCACCCCATTCAGCGGCGGACAATTAGGGGGCAATTAGGCAGTGACCCTCCTAGATAGGAATAGTGAATCAACCATTTTTTGGCACTTGAAGGGCTTGAGCTTGAGAAGACTAGCTAGATAGATAAAACTATGTCTCTCAAAGGGAAACACACTTGCTGGGCTGTGATAGATTGCGGATTGCATGCAAGAATTGGTAGATCGTGGCAGTTTGTGAGGTGTAGACCAGGCTGCTCACAAAAACAACGATTCAAGCCTCAATCGAGGCAGATTGTCCAAACAAGTCTATTGCATAACCTTGGAACAATTGCTCACGCATAGCCCAAGCTTGAATACCCTGTACCTAGCCTTGTCCGCTTGCTTTACGTATGCGCGTCAAAGATCGACGATGGCCGAGATTTCAAAAATCGTCAAAACTGTGATAATGGCCTCCCACGATGGGGATACAAACACGCTCGCACGTGTTTGGCAAGCGCTATTACACGTAAGGACACCGCCCTTCACTCTAAAGATGACAACGACTTATCTTTAGCGCACCAAGGACGGGAGTGACCCAAAAATGTGCGGTTCTCTGGTAGATGCGGAATCTGCACGCACTCTTTTTGGACGATTTTCGGCCAATTTTGGGGGCCATCTAGAGGGGGTGGGACTAAATATTTTTTCTTGAAAATTGGTAGTTAAGGGTTTTCAACCCAATCTTTCCGATTCTGATATTTTTTGGTGAGTTTCAGATGTCCTTTATAACGAATTTTATCTCTCAAATAGAGGAAAATTAATTCCGGACGGAGGAAGTATTGAATTGTCATCTAATGCCCATTCATATTGTACTAGGGGGCCCTTGAGCGTAGTGTTCAATAAGCGCCAGCTATCCAAAAATCAGAAAAGTGTCCTTCCTTAGCACAAAGTACTTCCTCCATCCCATATTAAATGCCTTCTGACTCTGGAGCACTACCTCTTCATCACAAATACTTTGACTATCATTCAAACTTGAAATGAATAGCAATACAGAGGCGCCAGAGCAAAACCATCTACATGGTTTGGACACAGCATCAAAGAGGTGCATGCAAAAGGGTAGGGTAATAGAAAATGTGTCTTAAATGTCCTGATCGTGGAACTTGCCATGGCTTGCTGCTGCGATTCAAGTTCGATTAGCCAAATTGGAGATGCCTTTTGGGCCCAAATTTCTGACCACGACTTTTGGACCTCCATTGCCATTGTGTGGGATACCCTTGGAGGCTTCCCAAGCCTGAGGCGAGAGGCTCTCGCAAAAGCGCAAGGAAGGTGATGGCCATCACCCCATTCAATGGTGTACGAAGAGGACAATGGCCTCCTTGATGAGAATGGTGAAATCGACCCTTTTTCGAAGGGATTACGCTTGAGAAGAATAGCTAGATGGATAATGTTGTGTCTCTCAAATGGAAAAGAGACTTGCTAGGTTGTGATGGATGGTTGGCTACATCCAAAAGTTTGCCGTTGGTGGCAATTTGTGTGTAGGGACCAAGCTATCCACAAAGGCCTCGATTCAAGCGTCAATCGAGGCCAAATGTCCAAATAGGTCTACAACACAACTTTGCAACAACAACTTGCACAAAGCCCAAGCTTCAATGTTGAGAACCTGGCCTTATTTGCTTGTTTTAGGTCCATGCAACAGAGATCGTGGATGGCCAAGATTTCGGAAATCGTTGATGCCATGGCAACGGCCTCTCCTATGACGGGGACTCAAACATGGTCGACCATGTTTGGCAAACGCCATTCCATGCAAGGGACGCTGCCCTTCACCACAATGCCAGCAACGACTTTTCTTTGGCGCACCTGGGATAGGAGCGACCCAGAGCCCTGGGTCTCCACCAGACAAGAAATCAGGCTGCACAATTTTTGACAAATACTAGCTAACTTCGTTGGCCCTTCAGATGGGGTGCAGCCAGTTTGTTCTTCTTGAAGGTTGTTAAGGGTTTGGAATCCAATTTTGTCGATTCTGAACACTTTTTGTAAGTTTGTGGCTGTCCTTGTAACTAATTTTCTCTTTCAAAAGGAGGACATTTAATATGGGATGGACGAAGTATATACATCAGAAGAAAACAATGTGAAGGGAAAGTGTTCGGCCAACCCACCTTGTGAAGTTTCCAAAAGAACGGCCGTCTACCACGTATTGTACATCCACCTCCTCTGGCTTTTTCAGTTCCTTGTTGTCATCACTGATGTCAGGCCGCTTGCACATGTCAAAGAAGTAGGTGTCGTCAATGCTGTCAGCATTGTCGACATCCTCTCTGCGGACAACGTCGCCATGATAGGTTGTAATGAAGGCACCACGAGGGATGGATTCGAGGGCCCGCACACCCCAACCACAACGAACTGTCTTGAAGATCTTCAAAGGCAAAAAGCAGGATTCAATTATACCGTCCAAAGTTCTTGGGCAAACTTTTCATGCATTGCGTGCACGCAATGCACGAGCCATGGGCAAAACGTCCCATGCGAATCCTTCTCCCCCTTGAAGTTTTATTCACCTAGGAACTTTCGACCTTTCACCAAAGACACCTTGGGCACTGAGCACTCTGCAGCCAGTTGACAGTGTGCCATTGCTCTCTGTCTCAATTCGTCCTTGGCCATAAGCTTTCGCAGCGATGAGTGTTTGTTGGGGGAAGATCTCGCAAACGGCTAGTGCACCAAAACTTTCTGTTCAACAACTATTTTGTAAATTACACAACAACTATGGCACGACAACATCTCTCAGTGTATAGTATACCCTTTTTAGCCTATGCTCCTCCGATACAGTACCTCAGCAACAATGGTGCCACAGTGTTGCATGTGTCACATGTGTCACATCATCGACATTTTCACATTGATGCTATCCACAAAGGCCTCGATTCAAGCGTCAATCGAGGCCAAATGTCCAAATAGGTCTACAACACAACTTTGCAACAACAACTTGCACAAAGCCCAAGCTTCGAAGTGCCCATGGCCCTATTCAATTAAGAGATTTCAACAAGGTCTCGGCAATGGTTACAGTGACGATGTTTGACTTAAAACCCCCTAGAAGTGCAATGCACACAAGGTTGGCATATCACAATGGTAGCATGTTGCTACTAGCACTTTTGCCCACGCCCCCCAATGGGACCAAACATATCTACCTTGTCCCACTGACTTCCTGTAAAAAGGGGTACAGCCCACCCCCACCCCCCACCCCCCCACCACCAAGGTCTATACAAGAACATGAAGATACTTTGTTTGACCAAAATGGACATCGGCTGCATATTGTTGTCGACCATGTCATACCCAAAACTTCATTTGAATAAATTAGACATGACACGGTCAATAGTTAATTTGTCCTCTCACTACCATACCTGCAACTTCCATCGCAATCCCATTTGACTCACTGCTTGTGGGCAACCCCTGCCCTTTAGGCAGTGGCACCATGGTCCACATTCGATGACGATCGACATGGGTGAAATTAACAATGGAACACCCCCCTCCCCCATCTCGTAAGGCAAAGTCCCATGATTCAAATCCCTGACGTGTGCATCAAAACGCATTTAGAAACAGGAAAACATGTATATCATACACTTTTAGTACCTTCCTAACAAACGTTGGGTGCCTTTCAAGGTTGCACCACTGCAGGAGTCTCAAGTTCTACAAGATGGAACTGAAATAATAGTACATTGACGAAAGCAGCAAGAGCGCACCTTTTTTGGAAAAATCAAGAGTGCGTCAAATGAATCATCACATCAACACCCATTGGAGGAAAACGCCATTTGCACGATCTGATTTCGTTTCAACTGTGCGTATCTGCTGAGGTTTATGTGTTAAAATTGCTTTAACAACGGACAACAGTGGACAACATCGTTTTAACCATGGTTTACATGTCATTCTCATTCAGCAATTCAAATGTTTTAAAATGGTCCAACTGCTCTCTATCTTTCACTTGGAGAGGACACCACAATCTTTCAAAAGATGGCAAAGTGCACAATACCGTAGTATATACTACCTATGTCTCCAAAGTACCGCAGGATACTCAACGCTTCCACATCGGTCCATCCCGACCGTTACGTTTTTGCTCCGCATTTTTGTCCCGGACAGTTACGTTATTTTCTTCGCTCTTCAGCATGTCATGCAGGCTCCAAGGGGGCTCTAGAGGTTGTATCCAAAATTTCAGGTGCAACGGACCAGTCCCAAGCCTCGTACGTGCGGGCACCATGCGACACCAACCACCCAACTCTAGGGACGGCTCCCAAGAGTCCTAGCGACGCGCAAGGAGAGGCGCGGCTGGACAGTGGACCGCCCAGCAACTCAGCGGCACATCGAATCCCGTTCCTAGCTCGACAGGGACCCCCCCCATTGCTGTAATGGGGGACGCACGGGGCGCTATCGATCGCGCCCCCCAGCGAAGCTGGTCCGCGAAGCCGGGTCCATTGCCGCGAACCTGTGCCCGCTGAATAACCCCCCAAGCCCCCCATTGCCTCATCCGCCCAGTTCACCCCACTCCCCGTGCTCCTGGCCCCGGGCGGCTCCCAAGGCGGCTGAAATCAACGTTTATTGTGGCAAACGCTAGGCGGGATCCGGCCCATCAATTCGATGGGAAGATTGGAATCTGGCGTGTGTCCAAAAGGAAGATGACAGAATAAAGCAGTAGGTACCACCAACAGGGGGACATATACCAAGTGGACACAGCCGTGGACTCCGCTTGGTATCACAGTGGTATGTTGAGAAGCTCTTGCTGGCAATCAAGACAAAGATGCCATGGATGCAAAACAGGCAGATGTTGGTTCAACAAGATGCGGCTAGCCCCCACACAGGACAAGGGAACTTGGAAGCCCTCAAGAAGTTGGGCATATGGAGGGCTGGTTGATTGACCTGGTTACCCAGCCAGCGCAATCCCCTGATTTGAACATCAGCAACCTTGGGTTCTTTAGATCGTTGAAAACAAGGGTTCTTGAGACACGATTCAGCAATGTGGATGAGATGGCAGGAGTTGTTGAGGGAGCATATGAACAATATGATGCAGAAGCCCTTGACCGGGTGTGGCATTGCCTGTTTGTTGCATACAACAAAGTGCTTGAGGAGTACACAATGGAACATACAGAGATTAGGCAACCCCAACAGCTTGGGAGACTTAGCCAGTGTGCAAAAGTGGACAGGGAAGCTTTTCAAAATGCTCTGGATTTCTTGATTTATTTTTATGATTGCGTGTAATGGGGATCCTCATTCATCGGAAATCGACCAAGGAATCTGAATCTGGTGTCGGTTTGACCAGCTGAGTTGATCTTAAAATGTTATTATAACAAAAGAAATTTGGACAATACTTTTGAGAAGGAGGTAGTATAGCATTTTTACTTTTCACAAAGCTAGCGTTGCCTTTTAGGAGGAGCTTATTTTTCGCATCTTGTCACAACAATGTCACCCAATCCTTTTTGTTCTGCATAATGCCTCCAGGAGTCACAGAAGCATCAACAGATGGTGGGTGGGCCAGGGACTGCCATCCAACAACAATAGTTGGTGTCCACCAAACGCCGTGTGTGCCAATTCGAGCGTTTTGTACATCGAGCCCCTTTCTCTCAAGGTGATGCACCCGTACATTCACAGCGCATTTCTTGCACTGTTGTCTTCGTAGGCAAGCTGCCACTCCCTTTTCTACAGCAGCGATGGGGCGATTGGCGTCAGGTCTTTGCAAGCCACGAAGCTGCATTTACAGCGCTGTGCCTCTGGCATCCGCCTCCCTATTATTGCAATGGGATTCCTGAGTGGGATTCCCTTGCTATCGGCCAGCCATCAACGCCGCCGACGGCAGCCTGCCGTGCGGCCACGTCCACACAAGCGACCGCGGCCTGGCTATGACGTGAGCACACCAAGAGGCCACTTGGCTGGGGTAGGCAAAGCGCACTCTGACTCGGGGGCTTTGCGTCACCTTTGGTACTGTAAAATATTAAACCCCTCCACATAGTAACGTAAAAACAACTAAAATGAAGCTCTGAAAAAACAAATGCAGAGCAAAAAGCGTAACGGACAAATTTTCTGATGCGGAAGGGTTGAATGTTTACAGTACTAGGGGTTTCCACTTCCGCATTTACCCGAAGGAGTGTACTGTCTTAATGTTATTCTGTTCCGCACAAAAGGCGAAAGTGTCAGCGTTTGTGGAAATATACTAACTACACTACAGTATATGTGGTTTCATTTCAAAAGAGCCTTGCGTCACAGCAAAAGGGGCTGGGATGTTGCTGATGCCCAGCAACATGCTGCCACTGTTGACAGTTGGAAATGCAACACCTCGTTGCACGACATGATTCCAGCAGAGAGAGGTGACACGACCAGGGTGTTTTCATTTCCATGGATACAGCGGTGCATTCCAAAGCAGCTGCGTACCTGATGTGCACATGGGGATCGCCCGCATATTGGGGTGGCAGAGTGGGGATGGGCGGCAAGTGGACGTTTTCAGCATGACGGGAGGTGGCGGAGTAGCAAAAGTCATAGTCAGCAAACGGGATGGGCTGAAATCCGTGGAGAACAGTGTCTTTGGGCACGTCGGACTGTGGAAAACGAGGCAGCATACAATCAGCACACAGGCAGTACACACACATCCCCAAGGCGGGCAATGAACTTGGGCATGGACATCATTGGTTGTCTGTGCAGGGGGTGGTGCTGCACTTGTGGATGCATTATCAAAGAACAAGAACAACAACAGCAAACAGAAGGTGGCAGCAGGCCAAGTAAGGGTAGTGCATGTGAGTTAATACAGTAGATAGGTAATACATGTAGGAGAGACAAGGACTGTGCAGACAATAGAATCAGCACACATGCAGTAGTTGGGCTTGAGACGGTAAACAGAAAAGCATGAGATAGACTGGTATGGTGCTTGGGGGCCACTTGCCGGCATATTTCAGCTGGTAAAGCAGGTCAACATGTGGCATGAATGGGTCCCCCTTGTGCTTCCCATCGAGCAAAACAGGAGTTATTCTGCTTGTCTTATTTCCAATCACTCGATGAATCAAACTAAACAATAAAATGTGCAGATGCTTGAGACACAAGTAGAAAACAAGTACATGAATCATGGCATAATGCGCAATATGATGAATGCACAACTGTACGGAACCACACAGTCACAAAGACAAGCTGCTGGCTGCAATAAATTGCAGGCACGACAAGTAACAATAGCAAAAACAGAAACAACAATTATAGCAGCAGCATCAGTACCACCAGTCACAACAATGGTAGCTGTCACAGCAAAAGTGGCGTAAACATGAGCTCAGAGATAGAGACCTTGAGGAGGGATGGTGCAAGCTCTGAGTCCACTGCGTTGACCACAGGTATAGGCAGGGCCTCCAGCCCACGGGAGATGTCATTGCAGATCAGGAAGGACTGGTCACCCTCCCAGTGGCCCTTGAAGTTGTTGACCATTCTGTAGTGCACACGCTTTGATTTGGACGGCTCCTGACCTGGCCGTCGTTCCAGTTGGAATTTCCAAACTGAGTACCCTTCCTTGCCCGTTTCCTGTACGTGTGACAAAGTTTCCTCTCCTGTTAGTCTTAACGATGGAGTACATCAGCTACCAGGGCATGCACCACATTGACGCACATACTGCAACATTGAAGCAAGCAACATTGCATTGGCTGCTCCTATCTTCAATCAAATGGTGTGCCATGTGATATCCTAAACACAACAACAAATTCTGGAGCCAAAAGAACAAAATGAGCCTGGCAATATACTGGAATCAAAGGCCAACTAATATTGTGGAGGCCGCATTTGCATAATACGTTTACTATTTGCTTAAAAATTCTGGCAGGACACCGCTTATAAGTTTGTTAAATACCCTCAAATTTTGCAGAGAACTTATAAGTACTATGCAACTAGTAGGTAGTACTTTCTCTGTCCTTTATTTATCATCACTTTATTCGATCACTTTCCATCATAGATACTTTGTTCCTTCAGTGAAAATTTTCAAAATTTGTACCTGTGAGTTTTGAGTATACAATCAAATAAATCAAGTTCATCAATTCAGCATTGCAGGTTTGGTAGGAGCTGGGCATGCCGCACTTTCTTTAGGCGACAGTGCTGCACCCCAAACTGTTTGGAAATCGCCCTTGTAATGGCCAAAACGGCCACAGCTACAATGCAAGGCCTCTGAACTGCTCACAGCGTCTGGTGGCCAGGGATGCACGAGTTGCTCTGCCAGAAAACCAGCATTGAGGTTGTCTGAACTGGGTGGACTCGCCATGCCAGCAGTGCCCACCATAGGTACCACAAACTAATATGCAATGCACTGTCCAAAATTGTCAAGCCGAATTGTAACACTGAGGCTACAAAATGTGGAAGGGATGAATCGTTGTGGTACAACACACTTCCTCCATCCAAAATTGATTTGTAGTTATGATCTGTGGCCTTGGAAAACCTACTAAAACATCTCATAATTTCACCAAAATTTGTCAAAATGTTGAAATCTAACCCCAGTTTGTGTTCGCAACTTTGGAGTCAGCTGGCCAAGTACTCGATCCACAACACGGCTTTCAACAGACACCACATTTCCGGAAATACCCCAGTTTTTCAAGGTGGCGCTAAAACCACCTATTCTTAGGCCCTGGACCATGCCACCTTGTGGCGGCCCCCATTGCACAACGACTGAAGGCATAAGGCAGGTGGCTAGCGCATCTGGAAAGGGGTGATCATAGATCACCACCATACATTCGAGACTTTGCGGCGAGCAAATGAGACCATCGTAAGTCGTTCTGGAATGCAATCAACGATCCCATAGGAATTGACTTGTCCCGTGCACAAGACACAACAGAAGCAATTTGCAATGAGAATTGTAAAGATCGCACTACACAACTGGCACACAATTCGGGGAATGGCGATGGAGGCAAGACATAGGCAAGATCCTCGATCATGCCTTTCAGGATGAGCTGGCGGCCTGCCCTTTGCTTTTGTATCTCAGCTACAAGCTGCAGCCTAAAACACATCTTCCAAGTCGCGTCACTTTGCACGATGGAGAGCACACCAAGGTAGCATGGTCCACAACCCCAAAACAGGCTGTTTCGGAGCCACCTTGAAATGCTTGGCTGAGTGACATATGTTGAAGATGACACTGCGGATTGAATGCTTGTCCAATAGACTCAACAATTTGGGAGCACAAACTAGACTCAAACTAAAGCATTGTGGCAAAATTTTCACGAAAATCTGAGATGATTTGGACGGTTCATAACTGCAATTTAATCTGGTACAGAGGAGCTAGCAAACCTCTCAAAGGAAGTTCAATGGGAATTGAACTTGTTGTGGTACAAACATGGCAACCGCTTAAAGGAATTTCAATGGGATTTTGAGTATGGAACGAAACTATACAAGGCAAGTAATCTTCCAGGAATGTGAGTTACCTTGTAGTACTTGACAACATCCCAGAGTCCATCGTACCGAAACACCACTTTGGACACCTTTTTCTTGTCATTGTTTTTCTTCAACAGGCGTACAGGAATCCCGAGCTTCCAGTTTTCTGCCAATGCCTCGTTTCCCCTGCAATGAGTGCATGCATCCATGTTGGCATCAATGTAAGCAACCAGGCAAGGGCATTGGGTTGAGAAAAATTGGAGGATGAAAATACGCACAGTCTCCTTCCCTAACTAATTGTCCATTATCATAGACATTAGCCCTTCAACGTTCCGAGATAATGCACTGTGATGCATCTTTTTGTTGAACCACTAAATGACAAAGGGTGCTCTCTCGAGGAAATACCAAGCAATCAAGTGGTGGGGAAAACAAGCAAAGCAAAAATTGCAATCCCTCCACCCTTAAAACTACTTAGTCGATCGCGTTCGTGCCTGTCCCTGTGAGCGATGGAGCATGCTTGTGCATGTCAATGCCCCAGTAGAGTTGACATGGTTGGCCATCGGCGATTTGGGAACGTGCAACGATTGCTCTACCTCCGTTGTCAATTGCACTTGCCAGCCCATGGCTGGGCACTCGCCTTTAGTTCCACCCTTGCAATCAACATATGGGAATGCCTTCCATGCATGATAGGAATCGATCGCTGCCATCATGCAACTATCTTGCTGGACTGTGGTCAAATACAATGTCTGCAACCTTTCATCCCCAGGTGCAAGATCGTCCACACCCTACGGTCCCACCAAACCTCTGGAACGAAAGTACATGGGTGGTGTTCACCAAAGGCTTGTATTGTGCAAAAGCTGGTCATTGACCTTCGTCACCAACTACACCATGGTCAGCGCCTGTGTTGGGAGGAGTGGGGCATTGTGCTAGTTGGAATGGCATAGGCGGCCATCACTACATGTTCCCGTCATGAAATCGTGGCAGTTTGTATAGTTTGGTGCGCAGCCCACTCACAAGTGTGTCTTGTTCAAGTTCTACTGGCAGTGGCGCCTAAACTGCAAGCGCCTCGGACCAGGGCCTCAAGGCTTGACAGGATATCGTACTTGTCTTGCTGGTGGGGGTGCCCAAAGAGGGGAGGCAGGGGAGGTGCGGGGAGGGGGAAACGAACACACAAATTGGATGACAGAAGCCAGGTGGCACACCAACGACATGAAATCGGGTCGTTCCTTGCAACTGTCTCTTTAGGGGCCAATTTGAAACTTTGGATGCCACCCCTGGGGGAGACAAGATAACAGAAGGGGGGAGCCAAATACAGTGACCCTATCCCGGAAGTTACAAGATGAACAAGAAGCCATTGGACATGGTATTAAGAAGAACAGAAAAATAATGTAATTGAGTGGCAAGAAAAGGCAAAAAGGGAACAAGAAAAATGAAGTAGGAATTTGAAGGGGGCAAAAGAATGGAGTGAAGTGGCCACCCCTCCACAGGTCGGCAGAAATGATCTCCACTTGAAGCCTGAACATCTCAAAACACTGTGAAAGACGAGCAAGGATGAACAATGCAAACGACACTTCCATCTGAAACAGGCTGTCGAGAAATTCTAACAATTCTGAAGTTGCACATTAGAGTGTGCAAAACAGTGCCTTGAAAAGTTCTCAACATGACACAAGTAGAACAAAGATGCAACAATCCAATACATGATATGGAAGCGAGTATGTACCTGGTCAACGTTTGGTGGGAGATTTGTTTGCGATTGCCCAATAGATTGTTGCCGCCTTCCCCCGTGTATGTAATGGAGTTGCCCATGTCTGAGTCATCCTCATACATTCCACCCACCACAACACTAGTAGCCACTGGCGGCAAGGTTTTTGTTGCACGGGATTTGGGGATCCACACAATTCCGGCCAGTGGCGACCTGCAATACATATCATCTGCGTCAACAAGCATCCTCATTGCAGACAATACACAATGCAACAATGTGGGCGCTAGCACCAACGCTACCGTACGGTAGTATTTGCACACACCAGGTTCGATTGGTGCCAATGCGAATGCATTTGCAACACATAAGTATACTGTTCTAACGTGCTCCATGACAAGCCCAATGCGATAAGTTTTGAACAGATCTGTTCTCTAGAGCAGTGTGTGCTGCTACACTCAATACTAATGGTGCAAACAATCTTGGCTGACAGCAATATGTAGGTTTGCATTCTGGCCAACACCACAAACAAGGCAAACACTACAAATAACAAAATACATCTGGGAATATGTGATTTTGATGTCTGCTTTTATGCCATTCTGCATTGTTTTCCAAATACCCTTACATCAGTACTGCTCTGCATTAAGGTCCATCCTTGCATTGTGATGTGGAAGGGTATAGTGTACTATCGCAGTGGGAGTATACCATAACATATTACGCCCTTCTGTACCAAAAATTCAGCACCAAAAATTTCAGCATCAAAATTTCAGCATACGATTTTGGTCCACATTTTCTGAGAGCTTTATTGTATTTGCCCACGCTGCATCCTGTCCTGCTTGTGGAAGGTGCGTTATGGAACCTGCTGGTCAAGTTTTAGGTGCAGCTGACCAGTCCACAAGCTCCTTTGTGCATGTGGGACCCAACCAGGGGTTCCACAAAGTGTTCAGCTGCTCTATTGCGGTGTCCACTTGCGCTAATGCGAATGCTCATCACGTCATGCATAAGGGCCATCAAACACCATGAGCAGTCTAGAGACCCTTGCATTGTGGCTGGTGCCGGTTTGACCACAGCAGGGGCGATTTCCAGATGGCTTTTAGGTCCAATGTGGGCACCCAACAGCACTGAAGTTCACAGCGAATGCAACTCCTCTTGAAGCCAGCCTAGGTGTTACTTTATTGCCCACTCTGCAATTTCTTTTGCGCTGTTACGCTTTTTATTGTAACTCTGCAAGAAGAAGCCAACTGTTATGCTACAATAAGGAAGGGTTAATGTCCTATGCTATTTGGAGCTACAATAGCATGGGGTCACACGGTTGCACAACGTGTGGTCACATCATCAGCCCCTGATTAGCTGATGTCACCGCCTGGCAGGCTAAACCCCACGTGATGTGACAACTAGCTGTATACTCCTATCCTTATTAATGCAGTTGCTGGTTAGAGTATTCTCAAATATTGCAACGTGTCATCGCATGACTCATGCGGTCACAGAGGTGCCAGCGGTCCCATTAGTACAGCGGGCACTCGATCGCAGGTTGGAATATATGCACAGTAATATGCCCTACAATGCAGCACTTCTCAACCAAAAGGGGCAGCCAAGAGTTTGTTCACATCGGTGGCCATTAAACCACCATCTTTTAATGCAGTCACTCTTCTTGGTCCAAAATTGGGCTGCAAGGTGACATCTTTTGTGTTGAATTCCACCTGGGTGGCTGCCACAGAATTCAAGATTGCTAGCAAATGCTCCAATGGGTCCCCAACCAACCCTCTTGCATAGCCATCAGGGTCAGCAGGCTTTGGCCGTTGCCTCTACATTAGCTGTCAAACACAAGGTGAATCCATTGCTGCCAATAGGACGATGGTCATCCCTCTCCCCTGGTGCTCACGGCATCATTGGCATGAAAGATGTTATCAGTAGCGACACCTTTCACAACTGCAATTATCTTGGCCCACAAGTGGCTTGTTTGGATGCCCATGGTTCATCAAGCAGCATGGCACATTTGCCGTTTTGTGGCAACAACTCCAAAACCAATGCTGCAGCCACAAAGTTCAAGCACTCCCCCTTGCACAAGTGCATTGCAACCATATGCAGCCCAGCTGCAGAGCGGCTGGAGGGGCAGGCGTCTCGACAGCGCTGGGCATTAAATTGTGTTGCTTTCCTTTCTGCAAGGAATTCATCGTATAGTTTTACCTGTTGGTGAAACCGCAAACATATTTCTTCCACTTCTAAAGTAGGGGAGATTTCAAGTTTCCTTTAAAACCGCAAAATCTGTGGTTCTGCAACTATTCCTTCAACACAATACCTGTGCAGGCCAACAACCAGGGCCTCAGAGCGCAACTGAAATTCGTCGTTGACCTTTATTCCTGGTATGTGGCCCAAGATGGGCTGCTGGTTGACACATTTGCCAAGCCGCAGCATTTGGCTTTCGGCAACACGGTCTGGACGGCTTGCTCTGAATCACAAGGAACCAAAAACGTCAAAAACAGAAAGTCCAAGAAGGCACAATCAAAACAACAAACAGCTTGACTGGACAAATACAAAACAGTCAAGCAAGAATTCTTGCTATTCAGTAATCACAGTGCATGTATTATAGAAGCATTCCCTTCCTGTGAAATAACTGCGATTCCATTGGAACGCTGAAATAACAAAAAGCACTTGTGTTGGTTATTCCTAAACACATGGCATCAATTGATCTATTTTCAGCATAATCTTGTTAAACATCAGCTGTTGGGGCAACGATTAGCTAAGACCACAAAACAACACATAATTTTTGTGCCTCATGCCACTGGCTATTTCAAACCATTGAAGCCATATCTTATCCATTTCCGCACCATGTTTGTATCTATATTGATATATCTTCGATCCTCATTTAACAATACCATTTCTTATCATGGCAAGATCGGGGCACACCATTGTCATGGCAATATTGAAAAGTGTGACTGCCCTTGGGCATTGAGGTTTGGTACTTAAAAGGCAACGTGAGACGACATGATAAAACGTGCAGAGGAGGGACAAAGGCAACTGGTTGTTCCATAGCTATTATACTCATGGCATGAAATGGGTGATGCCTCCTCTGTTGCCTAAGGTAGGGGATGCCTTACATGTAACTTTCTTGACACAAACCCCCACACAATACATATAGTAGGCGTGGTGTCCGCCCTGTTTCACATCGGGGACTAAGGTGTTTTGCAAGGTTGGGTCCAAACTAAATGCGGAAAGAGCCCCAAGCCCACAGAGCTTAGCAATAGCAATAATCTACAATAACATTCAATAAAGCGACACCCCCCATAATGGGGCTTTGTATTGTACGAGGTGGGAGAAGGCAACATGGTCTTGCAAAGTCTTGCTGCACTCACATTTGGCAAGCCGTCCATGAATCCATATTGTTTAAAATAAAAACCCAACACATGAGGACATACTTACACACGGGTGTTGCCTCCAGCCCTTGCCTTCTTGACCCGTTTCTCTTCTTCCACTCGTGCGTGCTTGTACAACTGCCAAAACTCTGAACGGCATCGCTCCACTACACTCACTGCTTTCTTGGAGTAGTCCACATGTTCATTGACATGCAACCCTGGAATCTTTTTCCATTCTTGGTAAGGCAGCATATACCTTAGAAATGGATTGTCCGCTTCATCTACAATGCACTGAATTACTCGTCAAAGCAATACCCCATGCAACAGAACAAACCACATGAAAAGACTGCCAAACTTGAGTTGTTCCCATGCAACATGCATTGGCTCTAACCGTTGGTGAATGCCAGTCAATTTTCTTGAGCAAAGTTCGTTTTGTGCATCATCGACCAAAACAAATCAGAAACAATCAACACTGTCTTAGTTTTAGGAAAGTGAAACATCCTCAGCTTGCCTAACACATTTATGGCTGCCATGCAGTGGGTTGTGTTTTTATAGGGTGGTGCCAAGGCCATCATCACGTCATTTTGCTGCATCTCCTGATGGGTAGCTCTATTAAGAACCTTCAGCACTGTCCATATGTGTAATTGCATCCATTGTGTATGTGCAGCCTCCAAGATTCCCCCACAGCATTGCCAAGAACCGATTTCTACAGAACATTGCAATCCATCACAAGGGAATGCAGGAATGCTGTCAGGCCATCAAGTTCTCTAATCGTCTTGTGCAGAATCGAAGAATCGCAGATTCCTCAAATTGTTAGCATGCCCATGCATGTTGCCTGGTGTGATGGCACGTGGAGTTTGCACTTCCTCACTGCCGGGTGTCGTGTGCCCTCATCCATGGCCTGCTGAGTGGCGGTGGGTGCCGATACCATGTGCTTTTGTATACTTGCCCCCTAGTAGGCTGCCCTGGCTCCTTGTTTTCCATCCGTTGACTATATAGGCACAATCGATTATCCTATTATGTTCCAATTCATTTGCCCCAATTTCCTAGAGCACCTTGTTGAAGACAACTGAAAGGCAGCAACACACATTGCAAGAGTCTGGACATTGTAATGTTGTACCAATGGTGACCCCAGTTCATAATCTCTTTTACCACACTTAATCTCGACTTCAACATACTTGTTTTCAACAAAGGCTGTCAGCACGCAGGGCCTTCTGGATCTTGAAGCATCTGACACATCGATGCTCTCACCCTGGTCAAGTTCACTTTTACTTTTGGCCACAACTTTTGTGAAATTCTTCTCAACATCCCAAATTCTGTTGCAATCACCGATCCTTTTCCCAGTGAAACTACTCCAAATTGGGCCACATCTCTAGTGCATGCTGAAAAGCAAAGAAACACCTTCCCCTAGGGACAATATTGTGCAATCCACCTCCATCGGGCAAGACGAGCTTGCCATGTTCTGTCCCAAGTCCCACCCAAGGGAACTTGGCGATTAATGATTAGGCCATTCGCTACATTTGATGAATCTATAAAAAAGAGCACTCATACGATGCATCGAACTTGTTTTGGCTTAATTTTCTGACTCTTCATGTTTGACCTCCATTCTCGCAAAATGGACGTGGGGCAGACTTTGGAACCGAGGTAGCACCCAGTTGGTTGCGTGATTCTGGCCTTCCATTTAAATGCTCATTATTTCCAGATAGATGAAATATAATATATTTCCTTTGGGACAGTGCCATATAAACTCACGTTGCAGCTGTGCACACTTTTCATGGACAACCGCTTTGGTTGTGGCACAGGGACAAGTGAAGTATTTGTGTTGAAGTGAATGAGGCAACAACAGAACATGCACGAGGTTCCCAGTACACAATCACTTCCTCTGTCCTGAAATTGATGGAACAATTTGTTGCCAGGCAACTTTTGAATAAAGTTTTGCTCAATTTATCTTGAATATCAGATAACAGCAGTACACATGTGTTTGCTGAATGGTGCCAATTTTTTCTGTTGGAAAATGACAAGTATTGAGCAAATGGCAGTACTCTGAACTGCTGCCACTCCCGTCAGGAACTCGAAATTCTCACTCTGTCGCCGATCCTTCCACAAATTGGATCACTGAGTGGGGACCCTTCCTGCAAACCCTGTGGTGTCGGAAGGGTAGAGATGCCAATGCTAGTCAGACTCACAATGGTAGTGGTAGTCCTGAAGTTCCAGAGTGGCCAGGATGGCAGCAACGCCACACAAACCGAACAACGATAGAGGGGCGTTGTGTGAGCTGGGGATTACTGTCACATGTGCTTCATTTTGGACGCATGGAAATCGGAATGAATGACCATGCTCGGTCGCAGAAAACGTGGTTACTTGGGTTCCGAGACCTGATATTTCCAAATTTTGACACTGCATTTGATATTACATTCCGTCGTCACGTAGTGAATTGGCTTTTCCAAACTGTTTCACTTAATTTGGGACAGAGGAGGTACATAATGGAGATTCACATATGCTCCAATAGCAGGAATGAAAGCACAACGCAAATGAAGAAGCAAAAGGACTCATGTGCCTATTGTCTACCTGCCAGCTCATTTTCTTTTGCGCTGTGTGAACTGTCCGCAGTGTCACTCTCCTTTGCACACTTGGCTTTCTTGGAAATATGCTCTGTGCCGCAACAAGGGTGGTCCTCACAGTTGCGACGTTTCTGTCCATTGCCTGATCTCACCACTGCCAACAGTCCGAATCGGCTGCAATCAGTTGGGCTGCACTTGTGTTCTTCAGCAAGATTCAGTGTCAACGAATCCTTTGACAGGCTAACACTCATATGGAACAACACTTCAGCATTCTTGCTTTAACTTCATGACAAGACCAAGCATAATAAAGTGCTAGTCTCAACAACTTCCCTCGTCTGGAATTAAACAACCACCTATTTCAGCAGTCCCAACTCGTACACAACACAGTTTGTCTTCCTTTCCAAACCTGCTGCACATACTGTTCATCCAATGCTACTGAAAAATACTTGAGACCAGTCAACCACTGCAGACTGGCAGCAATTCCAACCCGCTCGACTCAGAGCCAAGAGTTTGACATTCTCACTCATCAAATTCACAAAGCATCACACCCTGGATAACGAAAGCCCAACTCTGGAGTGGGTTCCCTTCATGCAGTGCTGAAACAGTAGAGCCACAGTGGTGCTACAACGCCCAACAGGCTCTAGCCCAACAACAGACACCCGCCAGGAGGGGCAATGACCAGAAATGTTTAGCAAGAGAAGGTAGGGAATTCCAGGAATCGACAAGGTGAGGAAAGACCCAGCCATCGTTTACCATGTGCCAATTGTGTTACCTGTCTGCTGTGCAACCTGGTCCCGGTCTGATTGGTGCTCTTCTGTATTGGCAACTACCTGCCCTGCTATATTTAGGGATCTATCATGCAACTGCTGCCCCTGCAACATGTACAAAGTTGCATTCAAACGATTGAAGAATTCTGAGAACAGTTAGTATTTCCTCCGTTACTAAATGAAACAGTATGGAATGCAAGTTTACAGTTCAGAACCTGAGAAAGCAGTGAAATGTTGAATGGAATTTAACGCCAGATTCGGAAACGTCAGGTCCCAAAATCTTGTGGCCATTATCTCTGCGACCAAATATGGCCATTCAGTTGATTTCTCAGGTTTCCAAATGAGTCACTCTGACAGTAATCAGTACTTCACATACCGCGCCTCTACCACTGTTTGTGTCTGTGCAGCGTTACTGCCACCCTGGCCATCCTGCAGCTCCAGGGTTGCCACTGCCACACTGGCCCTAAGGGGGTTTGGCATCCCTACCTTGGCACAGTCTCGTCTGCTGGAATGGGCCCCATTTTGAATCCCAGATTGAGTGGGCCAGCAACAACGCGACATTTTGTGAGCTTTTGGCAGGAGTGAGACTGGGTTAAAATACTGTTATCTGTGCACTACTTATCCATTCTCCAGAAGAACTTGTGGAGAACAAAGCCACACATAAAGTAACAGAGTGCTCTGGTGCGATTTTCAAAGAAACACAATAAAGATTTGACAAAATGTGGCCTCATAACCAAGGTGTTGCAGTTATTTCTGGATAGAGACTGCACAAGGGCAACAGCGTTGTTTTGATCAAATAAGACAGAATAGAACCCCTGTACAAGGGCACATCTGCTCAGCAAGGCAGTGATGGGGCCTGTTCCGATCCAATTCGTTTGTCTCTGCAGGTAAGTGCTGCAGACAAGCACAATAGGTGTTATGTGGTCATGGGAGTCAGTGTTTGCATGGCACCACAGTAATGTACAACTCACACCATTGCACACATTGTGCATTGTTTCTTTTGGGAATGACTTTAGCAAACTTGCAAATCATGATTCTTCTTTACAGAGTCAAATATGAAGTAGAAGACTCAAGATGCACATGCAAAGACTGCAGAGGGCAGCTGCAGCATCTTGTGACCAGGCCAAAAATTGTTTGGGAAAGGGCGGGCAAGGGGGTGGGGGGTGGGGGAAACAGCGTTGCAACACGCAGCATTCTGCAAAACACAGCTGGGCCTGCGAAACGAGCTGCGTTGCAACATGCAGCATTCTGCAAAACACAGCTGCGCCTGCGAAACGAGCTGCACAACAGAAGGACTTCAGAACACGTATGCGTGACCTCCGCCCAGCCAGTTAAATTCGCCCATAACGGCCAGCCCGCGGCACGCAGCCAAATCCACGTGCTCGATGCTTAACGGCCAAAATCAACAGCACGACGCACAGGAAGGCGCCCGGGTGCGCCACAGGCGCCGTACGGCAGTGTCCCATTCAAAACGCGCGAGGATGACCTGCGCGGAGCCAAGACAAAGGCCGGGAAATTCCATCGCCACCCCAGCAAAGAAGGGCCCGAGGCCAAAATGCCAAGAACACACGACGCGCTGAAGCGAGAAAACCCGTGGAAATCGACGGCACCTCCCCTCCACGCTTGGAGGCCCACACGCACAGGACACCGCCCGAAGGAGCCTCGACTTTGGTGATGGGCGCCCTGGGGCGGCAATTCGATTATCCGCCGGCACATCAAGCCCCTTGCCACAGAGGCTGCCCCCCCTCCCTCTTCCCAGCCCAGGCCGCCTCCCCTACAAGAATGGCGCCCATCCCGTTCGAAATGGCCCCGTCCCTGCCTGGCAGCAAGCCCAGCGTGTGGAGCATTTCCAGGCCAGCCGAGATGCACCCCTCCCAGCCCTGACGATGAAGGTAGGGGAACAGCAACACGAACTTGGGAAAGTTCCTAGGAGGTCACCGCTTCCTTTACGAGGAACAAAGAGGCCAACGCAGCAGAGCCCAAACATCCCAGAACCAGAAAAGGCCGACAACAGCCAGCCGCAAAGGCGCATCACCCTGCAAGGGCCTCCGGACGATTCGCCGCGGCACCGGCGCATCATGGCGGATCCCCCGGCGACTGGCGGCTGGCGGCGGCGACGCCTGGCGCCCGACGCGGTCGAAAGGCGGGCGCCGTGCAGAGCGCACGGGGCGAGGGGACCGGGGGGGGGCGGGGGCAGTCTGGAGGCCCGCTGGGAGAGCGGGGCGTGGGGCCTTGGAGGCGGGGCAGTCGTGACAGAAATGTACGAGGGAGGAGCGCGGGAGGGCCCATCCCGAAGCGCTTTTTTCTTGCGCTTTTTTTCCGCCTTTTTTTCTTTTCTATCCGTCTTTTTCACCTGGCAGTGCCCGTGAGCGCTCATCCAGCCAGTCTTTTTTTCTCTGTTTTGGGTTTTCGCCCTCTTTTCCGCCGGGCTGGACCTTGGCTGTGGATCCCTGGAGGCTGGGGGGAGGTGACAGAAATGGCACGGTGGGTGCAGGGGGAGAGCCACCCCGACACCCTTTGAACGCGAGCTTGTGTATTACGTGCGCCCTTTCTCTAGGTCGTCGCTTTTCGAAACGGGAAGTTGAACGTTAGCGACTGGTTCGCAGTCTCAGAATGTCAGCGACAGTGCTTCTGAAACATCGTGCCAAAACATCCAAGACGGCCAAAGCCTCCAAAATGCGGATGGTCCACTGTGGCGGCTCGGCAACGCGGACAAGAGGACCGAAATGGGAAGAGCAAGGGGACTAAACGGCCCCCACCTTGCCAAGAGGTCACTGACATGCCAAGATGAACGTCAGGCATCAACCATTTTGAATGATGTTCGATGCCTATCTGGGGGTGGCAGACCCATCTCCGCCACGTGCAACGAGCCCAACGCCATGGTTACCTTGCGCACGCTTTGGTCATTTCGGCTCACGTGTGAGCCCAAGAGTACAAATGAACCGTGCTATACAGATGAGCCGTGACGCTATAGTGGTGGGCGCCTGGACAAATGGAAACACATTCATGCTGGCGTGCATTCATCGCCTCGCGACAATTCGTGATGCGCACCAGTGACATCGCCGTGGTTTCCTCAACAAAGCTCGCTACGCAGAACTGACGGCATCAGCGACACCTCAATGCCCATTGCCCAAGCTGAATGACCTGGGATGGCCATTGTGACGGTGTCTGTGACTGCATTTCGTCCACATCCACATCCGACGACCCGGTAAGGGCATTGTGATGATTTATGCAGTGGCCTCTGCCATGAGCCCACTGCCAACACAAAATCCAACGATCTGAGATGTTCATTGTGGTGGCGTGCATGATGCCCTCATGCTTGGCACCAGCCGAACAAACCGGGATGGCATCTGTGGTTAGCGATGCATCTGGATGCACGTACATCATTCACAGTGACGTATTTGAGGCCATCCAGCCGCCACGGGCGCACGTGCGGCCCACAAAGTGCCGGTCATTGAGCAGGACGGTATTGCGCTAATGTACTAGCCCGAAAATTACCGTTGGGACAGAATGAGTTTCCCACCGAGTAATGGTGGGGACACGCAGAGACCGCGCTCGGGATGACAGGTGGACACGCAGCCCTCGGGGCACGAGGCCAGATTCCCGACGAGGGCGCGATTCCTGCTCCCGTGGTGGGCGGGTAGCGGCTGATTCCCCCTCCTGTGAAGTACTGCGCTAATGTACTAGCCCCCAAATTACCGTGGGGACACTCAGGATTCTGGATCACTGACACTCAATCTCAGCCTGGCGTTATCAACAGCGCAAACGTCGTAATGGACCTTGCCCCTCTCAAGCCCGCCACCGTGGCATTAACACTCGCCCATCACCTCGATGCGCTGGCAACACCACGTGCCGTACGACCGCCCCGGCTGTACCAAAAGGTACCAAAAGCCGCCCCCTCGCAGTACAAGGGCATATCCCCCGCCCCAACACTGTTCCTCAAGCGCCAGGTGCCTTGAGCCCAATTTGTTGCCCCCGGGCCCACTGGCGCCCGCGTTTTGCCCGCAACGCGGTCAGAACGTCGGCGCGGCCTCCCGCCCCTTGGGACAGCCCACGGCGACCCGCAGAGCATTCGGAGCATCGCCTTTGGGGTCTTTTGCTGACCGCGACTTGGAATTCGCCCCAAGTGCGGGATCGCGGAGCAGGGGTCTGCTCGATCTAGTTCGCTTCTCGAGAGGGTCAATCGGCGCGGCGGATGCTCCGAGGGCCGGAGAGGCGCGCGCTGATGGCGGGTTTGTCGTCGACACCTATGCTCCGATCTCTGGCTTACGACGGCGTCGAATTCGTGAGTAAACCTGGGCCCGGGGAGTGGGGGGGGTAGGGGGGGTGGGGGGGGTGGGGGAGGTGGGGAGAGACTTGTTACAAAGAGAAAAAGAAACGGCCCCTCCTAAGCAAGTGTATGCAAGACTCTTCTCCGTGCTGTGAAAAGATGATGTGGAACCTGGGGTGGGGGGGTACTGGCTGCTTTTTGAACGGTTGGACCGCGGGCTCTGCGCGTTGGGCAGATGCCCACAGGGCCGCCCGCGCCACCGTCGCGGTCCAAAAGGGTGTGAGAGGAGGGGCGGCGGCGGGAGGCGGATCGGGATGCCAGGAGACGGACGGGGCGGTCGCTTTTCGCGGTTGAGGGTTGGGGCGCCCATGACGACGCTGGCGATAGCCTTGGTGGTGTCGCGGATGGCAGGGAGCAGACGATCGGGGGGGATTGATTTCGCCTCTTCGCGGTGGGCGTTAAAGGGTCATCGGGTCGCTGCCTTTCGCCGGGATCGACCCGTCTCTACCCGCCAGTCATGCTGACCGCCGAAGTCTGTTCACGGCGCAGGACTTGCGAGGCAACGTTTGCAACCCCGACGATTTGACATGTGAGTGCACCGAAAACGGTTCCATCGCGGCCCACGGAACGGCGGCTCGCGTCGGGTGTGTCTGACGGGTCGCGGACCGCCGGGCCGCCGCGTGCGAGGTTGCCTTGGAGCAGTCGGTCATCCTGGCCTGGCCGGTACCCGTCAGCCCCCCAACCGCATGGCTCCGCGCTCACGCCCTCTGTAGGCGAAGGGCCGGAGTTTTCAGGTGCCTGACTTCTCTTCCGGAGCGTTGTCAGGCGGACCCGCCGTTCGCGGGCGAACAGGGAAATTTCATTCAGAAGACGAGAAGGCCCGAAGCCGGCAGCGACCGCAATCCCCACAGAGAGCCCCCTCCGCCTGCGCTCCGATCCACAGACCCTCCAGCCGCGAATACCTCTTCAGAAATAGCGGCAAGGAGGCCAAATACTGGCCAGAATGGCCCAAAAATTGACCGGATTGAATTGCCCTCCCCTCGCAGGCTGCCGACCGCCCCCAACCGCCTCCCCCCTCGACGCGGAGCACGTCGCCGGCTTCATCGTCGTCGTGGCCCTCATCGCCCTGGTGGTGGGCACCATGGCGGTGGTCCTCGTTTGGTGCATCCGCCCCCGGGCCCCGCACAGCAGCCGGCACCTCCCCCCGGAACCCCCCCCGCCGATTTGCATTCCCAGGCCGCGCTCCGCGGAGCCGATCTACGTCTTGCACCCCGGGGGGGGCCTGGAGATCGGCAAGCGGGAGGCGAACAAGGAGCCAAGTGGTGAGGCAACGGAGTCGGTGGAGGGGATGGGCGGCCTCACGGGGCCGCCTGGGGCTAGGGAGGGCCTGCGGGCACTCCAATGACGACCGCAGCCCAGGATTACGTCATCTGATGACGTGGATCGGGATACCGAAGGTTCGGTGTGGCCCGTGTGGATATACACTCGGCGAAGGATACGATGCATGTTTGCCAGGGATGCGATATATCGGATCGTGGTCGGAGCCTCGGAGCGGGTGCCCAGCCATTTGTCACGACTCGTTGGCGGACGGGAGCGCGGGTCTGGTTGCATTGCATTAGCGGAAGCCTGGGAGGGTGCGAGTAGCGCCGCTCGGCCTGAGGATTGGACAGTCAAGGGCACGTTGTACTATGTACTGCACAGCACTGGTACAGCACAGTACAGTACAGTATACAGCACAGTGCTGTACAGTTTTCGCACTGTCAAGACGTGTCTCCTGGACATGCAGATACGCCGAAGGAGTGTGTCGAGGCTGTGGTTTGACGCGCTTTTGCGATTGGTAACCATCTGGTGTGTTTTGTTGGCTGGGCCTCGATGGAGCTGCTTTCGCTCTTAAAGACTTTGCGAGATGGGGTTGTGAGTGTTGGTGCCAGATTGGAGATGACGAACGGGGATGCCAAGGCGTGCCCGTTCCTGCAGCGACGCCATGTTCTTTCCGCTAGTTATTCTTGTGTTGACATGTGTGTCGCGCAATTCTAAACTGGCATTTGGCAACTTGGGACGATCAGCGGGGTGCCCATCAGAGGCCTTCTTGTCAAACTGAAACTGTTTGTGGATGGAACTGGGAAATTTCGAATGGTTGGGGGAGTGGGCACAATGACGTCCCTAACAGCATTTTTATCGTGTTGGGCTTTTTTGCGACCAGGGCGTTCTGGCGCCCGGCGTTCTTCGTACCCAGCATCGATTTTCTCTGAGCGAGGGTGTCAAAGTGCCGTTGATGGATTGATGTGGCCGTTCTCACGGCTTGAAATAATTTGATGGCATCTCAGCAGTTAAAAACTTCATGATGTGTGAACTTTTGGGTGGTTTTGGGGGGGCCAGGAATTGGGAAACAATGCCCTCTGTCCATGTGATGGACAGCAAACGTCTCCTTAGTCTGTGTGCCCATGGACGGGCCACTCCTTCCTTGAGTGGCTCGTGTGATAATGATGTCCCGTCTTCTTGCAAGGATGATACAAAAAGATAAGGCAAAACTCTTGACGCAACATTCCAGGAAGAAAGCTTTGAATTGGAGGCGGCACTGACAGATGCAGGGTACAACATGGCCATGGAATGGGGTGGGACGATGAACATCAGAAAGGCAAATTTCATTGATAGACGCGGATGGAGTTGCAGCAATGAAGGCAGTCTTGGCCTGTTAAGGACATTGTCATTTGATGATTGTGGACAGCCGTGGACAGGACAGTGGACTAGAGCAGACCACTACAGGTGTACTCGGTTCAGGGGGTGTAGCAACCCTGAATCATTGCATTCCAGCATTTGGGATGATGGAGTTCAGTACCTCGTGTTTTTGTCCGCGGCCTGATGTCCTAGGCGTGGTCGTTTAGATGATTGTAACAAATGACTGTACAATACTATGGTTGGATTCTGAAATGTTGTGGTGTGTTCAGGATGGTGTCCGTCTTGGTGCCCTTGGCCTAAGGAAGCGACCATTCTGTGGGACACCGCCACCCAAACAATAAGGAAAGACATGTTTTGAATTTTGTATGCTCAGCGTCAATTTGACAAGAAAGGGGGGGACGTGTCTGAGCTTAACGTCACATTGACACTAGGCGTTCAAAATTCAAAATAATGTCTTCGCTAAGTGGTGGAAACCGTATGGTGCCATCTGCCAGGTCGGCCTCCTGGATGTGAAGCATGTGCGCCTGCGCCATGGACCACGGCACAGGTGGATGCGTGGCAAATGACAGGTGCAGTCGCTGATAGATAGAGATTGGCAGCTCCTCTCCCACCTCTCCCCACCGACCCACACGCCCACGTCCTGATTAGAGTAGCCTACGGATGCGCAGTATGGCAGGTTTGTACCACAATATGCAGAGTCATGGCAGCTGGGCTCAAAAGCCCACCTGCTATGTTTGTGCATCTTGTGGCACAAACTGCCAGCGGGCCTATCTACGGTGGTGGCTAAGGCCATCGCGCCGAGGTCATTGAGCCCATTCATTGAGCACTGGGAGGCAATCCGTCAACCCGCTCTGCATGGCAGAAACACCTTCGTGGCAGCACACAAACGTATGCGCATTGAAGCGCGGTATCTATGACCAAAGCAAGGTGCCCAAAGCTATAACAAATGCGAACGATTGTGCCCTCGCTAGCCAAGGCGCTGGCACAATCCACAAGTGTGGTGTAGACTAAAGGGGGTAGTGTTTTCTCTATTAATTGATATCTGAGAAGCGAAAAATATTGTGGCTATGCAATCTCTGTAATGTACAGTTTATTAGAAGTTTATAGTTTTTCAAAGCACTCCAATTGGGGTAGCGTTTGTGGAGATATAATTAACGGGCGGCCATCCCTGTGGACTGGGCCCATGCTGCACATCCAAAGACATGAGCGGCCCCGGCAATCTGGCGGAGGCCCTCTGCGGCCCCATCAGGCGCCTCGACAGGAGTCACCGCCTGCACCTGACCGAAAATCACGTCAACAAGGAAGGTCTTGGGATAAAGGGAATTGATTGAAATGCACCTATACAATTGCTCTAGTGCTCAACACAAACTTGCACTACACTTGTGTCATGAAAATCCCACAATGTCTTTGAGCCATTGCTCAGGATGCTAACTATGTATAATATTTCAATAGTAAAAAGAAACATGCCAGATAACACAATCACGACACGGTCTGCTCAAAATCTAATTGTATCGTTTTGGCAAGTGTGATCCAAAAATCACACGGTCAGTACACGCATTATTATGTATGTACACAATCAGTACATAGGAAATTCCTATGTATTCGTATCAGGAATGTGTGTAACAATTGTGCGATTGTGGGACGATATTTGCTCAAATGACGCATTTAGATTTTGAGCAGACCGTGTCATGACCGTGTCATCTGGCTTGTTTTCTACTAGCGTGGGTAGCCGGACCCTTGCAGCTATTTGGAGTCTCGGAGGAATGCTTTCCAAGTATCTGTGACCAGGGACTTGACCTGCGTTCGTACTGGTACCGGTGTGTTGGCGATATGGTCGTTGTATCAGACAACTTGTATGCTTGTATTGTTGTCGGCTGCCGGGGCCTTTGTCCTCCAAGCACTGCAGATAGAGGCGATGAAAACTAGCAAATAGGTCAAAGTCAACATGGCTGTGATCATGGCGACCACCAGTAAACACCATTTGCGTTGACGCTAATTGGCGCCTTCGCAAACGCATTGATGCCAGCGGGTGGCGCAACTTGGTGTCAAAATGGCATCACAGGACTGGCGTTTTCTTACAGCGAACTGATGCCACAAACAATTGACGAGTCGCTCGTCTGGCTGGCACCCATGGCAAAGGGGCACCGAGCTCGGTACTCCTCCGCCAAAAGTCTCAGGACGTGCGGTTATATGCAGCAACAAGAGTGACCATAAGGGGCATGGACAGAGCTGATGGACGCCCAACGGTCACCATGTACATGGTCGGCATGTCGTGGCATTCCCATGGGCGTTGGCGCAGCCAAGGGATGGTTGCTCTCGACGGCGGTTTGGCAGGCCGAGTGAACAGGAACGGCGGTATACCGAATGGATGCATCCATTCGCCGTCCCCTTAGAGAGCTAGGAAGTGGCAGTTGATGGAGGCGGGTGCCAGTCTTGGTGAAGCAGATTGCGCATTTGCAGGAGGTAATTTCCATTGGGCCAGAAATTTCTGCATGGGGAAATTTTCGAGCGGGAGTATTTTGGTGCGTTGTTGAGTTGTTGAAGTTTTCCAAGCAAACATTTTCATCTACAAATTGCTCGAAAGTAATGGAGCGCAAAGATTTCTCAACACATGGCATCCGCTTTGCGCAAGCCTATCATGGCATTGTTTCCAAGTCCGTCGACAGTGGGCTGCTGAAGCTGACAATGTGTTCGAGGGCTAAAACGGTGCCTCGGACATCGTGCTGCTGCCATGGCTTTAGGGCAGTGTTGCTGATGCTATGGTCAACAGTGCTCCTTGGTACTCAACAACAGGGTTGTGGAACAGCTACTGCGAGACCTGCCAATCGGATTGATCCATTTGGAGCCCTGGTTCCTGGCGCAGTTTTGGCTGAAATGGCTAGCACTCGCAAAAGACCAGCCGCATGCAGCAGCCTGCATGTTCCGTGTATTTGGGCTGCATCTGGCACGTCGGCCTTTTGTTACCGCTTTCTTTTCTGCCTGTGTCCTTGCTTCATGGCACTTTTATGCAAGCCTGCATCAATGCACTACAATGCAACAAGATGGGGTCCACATTAAGTGCATCTTGCAGGTGGCCGCGTGCTCCGTCGCGTTTTGGACCCAGCCAGGGCGTTACATTCTTGCAGTTTGGCGTATTGTTAAAAGCGTTACGCCTTAAGATTGCCCTGCATGATTATGATTATTCAGAGCAACTTTCAAGGCTCAATAGTGTTCACAATATGCTCGTAAGCAGGACCAACGCCACGTTATAGTGCGGAAGGTTTATAGCACTATGTCCAGACTGACAAAACGTGGCCCTGTTTGGTCTCTATAATAATGCATCACACTATAGCGCAGGGCGGAGGTACCACTAGGAAAAACGGGCCAAATAACGCGTGCTCAAACGTGTACAAATCTCACAGGTTTTGGTTATTTTTTTGTTCTTAGCGTGCAGAATATTGATAAACGCATTTCATACGTGTTCGCAGAAAGTGTTATGTATTCCTTTTTTGCTAGTTTACTTGAATGTCCCGACAGCGGGTGCTGGCTGCGAGAGGTGACGACAGGTGGCGATTCCTGGTCGGCTGCCCGACTGGCCACAACGAAGGAGGGGGGCCCATCCACGTCACATGGCATCGGGCCATGCACGGAGCGTCCGTTTTGACGAACAAAAAACTTGACCAAAATACCATCATCAGTGACAGTTCATTGTTGACCTTGGTCGACTCCAGTCAACCACTCTTCAGG